GCCTCTACACCACCGCCTATGTCGTCCAGCACCTCCACCAGCACCCAGAAGGTCACCCCGCTGGGGGAGAACAACTATAACACCTGGATGCCCAAGATGAGGGCCAACCTCGCCGAGCGGAAGGTCTGGTTCATTGTCTCTGGCGAGGATTCGAGGCCCTCGGACGACGCTGGGGCCGTGGCATGGAGGGACAAGGCTGCGGCGGCAGCGGGAGCCATCTATAGGGCGCTGGAGCCGGGTCAGAGGGTGCATGTGGTGGGGATTGAGATGGATCCGGTGAAGATGTGGGCGAAGTTGGCCGAGGTTCACCCCCAGAAGGTGTCTGGTACGCGTTTCAACGCCCTGGACGCCCTCCTCGCCGTTAGAAAGGGTGCTGTGTTGTCTGAGGGCGTCTAGCAGCTCGACAACACTCGAGAACGAGCTGGAGAGCACAGACAGTGAGTAGAATGAAGTAGATACATGGAGAGGGCTATCCTACCTGGAGAGCACAGACAGTGAGCAGAATGAAGTGCCCAACTCGTCTGTGGCTCTCCAGTAAAACTGTCAGCACAGCCTACAAGCTAAAGCGGCCATAGCCACACGAAATAAGCGCCAGAGAGCTGGCAAGTCACCACAGACAACACTCCCCCCTGACGAGGCAACTCTCAAGCTAATCCCATCAAACCCCTGCAAGCCTCCACCTTCGAGCGATCCAGAGACATGGTGAGCAAGTCGGCAGGCATCTCCGCCGTAGGGATGTAGCTGACAGAGATCTTCTTCGCCTCAACGGCTTCCCTAAGCCAGTAGAAGGCTAGGTCGAGGTGCTTCATGCGCCCGTGATGTTCCGGGTTCTTCGCCACGGAGAGAGCGGACCGGTTGTCGATCCGCAGCATAGAGGAGGAGCTGACATCGAAGCCGAGCTCAGTGAGGAGGTTCCGGAGCCAGATGACCTCCCTGCCGGCATAGCAGGTGGCCACATACTCGGCCTCAGTGGTGGAGAGAGCCACGACAGTCTGAAGCTTCGAGCTCCAGCTCACGGCGCCGGTACCGACCTTGAGGATGTAGCCAGAGGTAGAGCGGCCGTTGTCCGGGTTGCCGCCGTGGTCAGCATCGCAGAACAAGCTGAAGAGCTCGCCGGAGGAGTCAGGAGCGTACCGGATGCGCAGGTCGAGGGTGCCCCGCAGGTAGCGGAAGAGGTGCTTCACGGCCTTCCAGTGAGCCGGGCCAGGGTTGCTGGTGAAGCGAGAGAGAACGCAGACGGCGTAGGAGATGTCTGGCCGAGTGCAGATCGCCAGGTAGAGCAAGGCACCCACGGCGCTGACGTAGGGCTTGTCCTGCATGTAAGCGACGTCGTCAGCAGTGCTGGGAGCCATGGAGGTCGACAAGCGAAGGTTGGGGTCCATAGGAGTCTTCACCGGGCTGCAGGTGCTGAAGCCGTAGGTGTTGAGGATGTCGAGGATGTACTGGCGCTGATCCTGAGTCATGGCACGGTTGGGGCGGTCCCGAGTGATGTGCACGCCGAGTAGAAGGGAGATGGGACCCAGGTAACGAAGCTTGAAGCGCCGAGAGAGCTCCTCGATCACCGCATCCTTGGCCTCCTTGCTCTTGGAGACGATGGTCAGATCATCCACAAACACCGGCACGATCACCTTGACACCGTCGCGCTCCCAGACATAGATGCTCTTGTCGCAGCGAACCCGAGAGAAGCCCATCTCCTGCAAGGCGGCGTCGAGCTTCTGGTTCCAGACGCGAGGAGCCTGTTTGAGGCCGTAGAGAGACTTGCAGAGCCGGCAGACGACGCCGGGCTTACCCTGCTCAAAGCCGTCCGGCTGGTCCATGTAGACCTCCTCCACCAGGTTGCCGTTGAGGAAGGCGTTGGAGATGTCCACCGAGTCGGCCTCCCAGTCCTCGAGGGCGCAGATGGCCAGGATAGCGCGGAGAGCGGCCCACTTGGCTGTAGGAGCGGATGTTTCGTCGAAGTCAACTCCGGGGCGCTGGCTGAAGCCCTTAGCGACGAGGCGGGCCTTGTAGCGCTCCACAGAACCGTCGGCCTTGCGCTTGACCTTGAAAACCCAACGGGAACCGATGGCCTTGCGTCCGTGAGGCAGCTGGACCAGCTCCCAGGTCCCATTGGCGATGTGAGCCTCGATCTCCTCCATGGCGGCCTTGTACCACAGATCCGAGTCAGGACGCTTCATGGCCTCGCGGAAAGACCTAGGCTCATTGCCCCGCGCCTCAGCCTTCAGTGCGCAAGTCTGGAAGGTGGCCTCGAGGCTCTGAGGGAAGGAGAGGTGGTCTTGCGACGAAGGAGCGGTGTAGACAGCGTCGAGACCAGCTAGCACCAGCATGGCGTCTTCCGGGTCAGCAGCGGCCAGGGGATCCTCGGAGGAGGTGTCGTCTTCCTCCTCGCTGCTGACGGCTGCAGTGGGTTCCCGGTAGGCATGAGGGGCCAGAGAGCGAGAGGGAACGATCCACCAAGGCTGCACGGGCTTGGGTGCACGGCGCTCGCGTCTGAGGGCCAGAGGAGGAGTCGGAGGGCGGTCAGGAGGCGTAGGAGGGCGCTCCAGGTCTGGTGATGGCGCTGCAGAGCGAGGGACAGGCGATGGGGAGGCCTCAGGCGAGGCAGAACCAGTGGGAGGCGAGGACGAAGCATGAGGAGACGGCGGAGGCGTCTCGACTCTGGCAGGAGCAACAGGCGGCACATGGGGCGGTTCCAGATCTCCCCCCGGTTCAGGGATGTCCTGGGCATCCTGGAGTGGCGGTAGTGCCATATCTCCCCCCGGAGCCGGTGCAGGTGCGTCAGGAGGAGAGCCAGGAGCGCCGTGCAGCGAAGGCAGGGCGCGGAGGAAGAAGTCGGAGGCAGCAGAGTCCCAGCTGACGGTAGAACGCGCTCCGGGGAAGTACCTCTCGTCGAAAATAGCGGGGTTAGAGATGATCCGCTTGCGGGTGTCCGGGTTGTAGAAGAGCCAGGCCTTGTATCCCTCCGCGTAGCCGACGAAGATGCACTTCTCAGAGTGGGAGGAGAGGCCACGGCGCTTGTCCCTCTGGATGTTAATGTAGGCGACACACCCAAAGACCCGGAGGCTTTCCACAGAGGGCTTGATCCCGTACCAGCCAAAGTAGGGTGTTGCGCCCTTGGGCAGGGCAGCAGAGGGGGTCCTGTTGTGCACGTGGACGTAGGCGGCGACGGCGAGGCCCCAGAACGATGGAGGCAGGTTGGACTCGCTAAGGAGAGCCGTGGCGCCCTCGGCCAGAGTCCGGTTGGCGCGTTCGGCGACGCCGTTCTGGTGGGGCTCGTTGCGGACGCTGTGCTCACGTCGGATGCCTTCGGAGGTGCAGAGGTCGTCCCACTCCTTCGAGATGAACTCGCCGCCTTTGTCGTCGCGCAGTGCGCCGATCTTGCGTCCGGTGAGCCGCTCAGCAAAGGCCTTGAAGCGCAGGAAGGCCTGGAATGCGTCGCTCTTGCGCCGGAGCAGCACCACAACCTAGAAGCAGTGGGCATCGTCGACAAAGATCACCCAGTATCGGTACCCTTCAGGCGTCTGGACAGGGATAGGGCCGTGGACGTCCATGTGAACAAGACCCAGGGCCTCTGATGCGCGCCGGGAGGCCCTCAGAGGCACAGGAGGTCAGTGCAGCTTGCCGGAGATACAAGGCTCGCAGATGGCATCTGGAGCGGCATCCGAGTCGAGCTTGAGGCCAGAGACGCTGTCCTCCTTCAGCATCCGGCGGACGTAGTCGACGTTGACGTGCCCGAAGCGCCGATGCCAGAGCTCGAGGTCCAAGGCGCAGGTGCTGGCGAGCTGGGCGTGCTCCAGGGCCGGCAGGGTGCGTCCGTTGACGATGGCGGCGTTTGAATCGCTCACAGACGCAGTGAACAGCGTGGTGGTGCCTCAAACGAAGGCCATAAGGCCCCTGGTGATCATAACGCGAATGGATTTATGCTGATTGAGATACCGGACTGATAGGAGGTTAGAGCGAAGCTCTGGGACGTGCAGCACCCTGGTCCACTCCACTAGACGCGATTCCTGACCCTCCACCACGGGCTGGAAGCGAACGGAGCCAACACCGACGGCGTAGACGAGTTTGGAGTCGGCGAGGCGAATGGGGACGTTGCAGGGCGTGTAGGAGACGAACCAGTGACGGTGAGGCGTCATATGAGCAGTGGCCCCTGTATCGGCGGTCCAGTCAGCGCTGGGGACGTCTAGAACGGCGGGGAGGGGCTCAGACGACGAGGAGACACTTGCATTGCCAGCCAGCTCGACGTGGATGGCCTGTCCGGCGGTCTGGGGAGAGCCGGGGGTGTCCTGGGCCTCAGAGGCGGCCTTGGCGGTCTGAGAGCGCGGCGTGCGATGTCCTGACTTGCGCTCCGCGATCTCCTTGCGTGCGGCGTCCCTGGCGGCGCTCCGGCGATGGCAGGTGGCCTCGGAGTGACCCTTGTAGCCGCAGAAGTCGCAGAGGACGTCCTGGGCGGCGGAGGAGCCGGGAGCAGCCTGAGCGCGATAGGCGGCGTTGTCGGCAGCTCCGGCGCGCGGCAGGCGGTGGTTATGTTCGCGGATGAAGGCCCGAACGACGTCGGAGCGGCTGGGATCGAAGCGGACGGGGGAGGAGGTGAACTCGGGCCCAGGGAGCGGAGCATGGACATGGCGGCGAGGTCGTCGTCGAGGTCGGCGATGCTGTAGCGTTCTGGACATAGGGCCTTGAGTTCTTGGTGCAGAGAGTCGACTCGAGCGATGAGGGAGGGGAGGGACTCGTCAGCACCCTTTCTAACGGCGAGGAGGGCGTCCAGGGCGTTGAAACGCGCACCAGACACCTTCTGGAGGTGGACCTCGGCCAACTTCGCCCACATCTTCACCGGATCCATCTCAATCCCCACCACATGCACCCTCTGACCCGGCTCCAGCGCCCTATAGATGGCTCCTGCTGCCGCCGCAGCCTTATCCCTCGAATCCTCGCCAGAGACGATGAACCAGACCTTCTGCTCCGCCAGGTAGGCCCTCATCTCGGGCATCCAGGTGTTGTAGTTGTTCTCCCCCAGCGGGGTGACCTTCTGGGTGCTGGTGGAGGTGTTGGAGGACATAGGCGACGATGTAGAGGCTGTAGGCGAGTAGGCGACGGTGTAGGGCGACCAGGGAGGCTAGAGACGACGAGGAAAGCGTAGAATCGAGTCAGGGAGAGCCTTATCGATGTAGATCGTCAAGAATCGCTCCTAATCGATGGCAACGGCGTCCTGAGTGCTGCAGACGGCGTAGGACGATGGGCGGCGCTTGCTGGACCGGCGGGAACGGTTCAGGTGTCGAAGTGGAGCGATGGGGAGCGGAATGACGCTCTCGGGGGCAGAATGAAGCGGTATGACGCTCTGGGAGGCTGGTGACAGCGGAATGACACTCTGAGGAGCGGGATGACGCTGCAGGGAGCGGGATGACGATGTAGGGAGTGCCTTGCAGCGGGATGACGCTCTGGAGAGCGGTGGTTGATGTGCTATGACACGGTTGAAGTGCCAGCTGTCAGGAGTGAGTCAGAGCGGCCCAGGGCTCATAACCTGTTGTCTAAGGGCGTCTAGCAGCTGGACAACACTCGAGAACGAGCTGGAGAGCACAGACAGTGAGCAGAATGAATTAAATACATGGAGAGGGCTATCCTACCTGGAGAGCACAGACAGTGAGCAGAATGAAGTGCCCAACTCGTCTGTGGCTCTCCAGTAAAACTGTCAGCACAGCCTACAAGCTAAAGTGGCCACAGCCACACGAAATAAGCGCCAGAGAGATGGCAAGTCACCACAGACAACAGACACCCCCATTAGGACGGAGTTGGTTCTTACAGCCAGCTCCATCACAGTGACACCCCAGTGACCCCAGCCAAAACGTGATGACAGTGTGATTATGCGTGATTTTCATTCTCTGGGCACTCGAATTGCGTGGGACGCAGCACCGTGACACATCTGATCATGGGACTGCTTACATCATGTGATGTCAATACTTAGGCAATCTGATGAGTCAGATTGCTGACATGCTGCAAATTCAACCCGTCTGATCGTGAGACAGCTAGATCAATGACATAATTGAAGTCCCTGCTGCATGCTGTGTATTGAAGCTTGTGACTTTTGCTGTATTTGGTGACAGGCAGGTGCTTGTCAGATAAGATAGATAGATAAGCAAGATGCCCCCCCGAGCGGACAAGAGACAGCCCAGTCAGCCCGAGTCCGTGCCGAGTAGCCAGGCACCGGCAGGAGGTGGTACCGCTACAGCTACTGAAGTGTTCCAAGGGTAGTAGCACATATAGTATTAGTACAGTTGTCAGTGAAATAGTAGTAGCAATACTAGCAACTAAGAAGTAGAAAGGGAATGGTAATGACTGGGATCAAACAAGTGAACACAATCGAACGCGAATACATGAACACACAAACACAACGGAATGTGGTTACGCAAACAGGAACAAACAAGGAAGGTATAAGCAACCAAACATATGTATGCTTACTAATGCACACCAGAACTAAAATGCTACCACCCAAATGCTGACAAACATGCAGACACAAACAAATACCAACCAATAAACACAAACAAGTCTTCAGCACAACTCATTATCGCTTGGAGGGTGGTAAGCAAGTAGTAAGTAATTAGAGTATATCTATAAACCACTTACATCATGGTATGGAGAACGGTATGTGCACACACAATCGTGAATGAACGCGATGACCATATTCGTTCTTGATGACAGTGGTGGAATGTGGTTTGTTGTCAGGAGGGAGAGGAGCGGTGATTCGATCCACAATGATCTGTGATGCAACTCATGATATAAGAGAGTAGTTAAAACATAACAAGAGTTGCAACATACCTTGAGTCCACCCACAGCTGTTTCTAACCCCTGTTCTTGTATCTCCTCTCCACCCAATGCTTGATGCACTGCATTGTCTGGGTCTTTTTCTTTAGGTTGTTGCTGTAGCCATTCCCCAGGAATCTGATGAAGACCGTTGTATTTGTGTGTTCGCATTCGATTGTGTTCACTTGTTTGATCCTGGTCATTACCATTCCCTTTCTACTTCTTAGTTGCTAGTATTGCTACTACTACTTCACTGACAACTGTACTAATACTATATGTGCTACTACCCTTGGAACACTTCAGTAGCTGTAGTGGTACCACCTCCTGCCGGTGCCCGGCTACTCGGCATGGACTTGGGCCGACCTGGCCATCTCTTTTCCGCTGGGGGGGAAGTCGGAACGTGGCGCTTGATGCCAACTTACCTTATGTAAACTAGTCTTGAGACCTAGAACCAGTGCTAGAACACCTACAAAACTTCGTTAAAACCGGGTCAGAGTTATCGTTGTAGGATATGGAGCCTCCAACAAACAGGGTAGTTGGGACTTGGATAGAGCTTGTGTGACTAGACACCCTCGCTACTCCAGTGGAATACGTAGCCTGCATATCATCAGTTGGCTGATATTAGTCCAAGGCGTGCTTGATTCCCGAATCTTCTGTGAGCTTCATCTGGAGGTGCTGCTCCGTTATGGAGCTCTTGATCTCCTTGACAGTACAGGAAAACAAACTATGGCAGAGTTCGAGCCACAACCCCATAGATAGTGGCACGAGAGCTGGGATCAAGCACAAGCATGATACTGATAAGATCACACACTTCTGCTAGATGTGAGAAGAATAAATGTTTGAACAAAGCTACAGTGTAATGCAGATAATTGTAAATTGTATATAGCTTGGTACATGCTACAGCCCACCATGTGTTTTAAACATACTCTGAAGAGGGAGAACTCTGTTGTCTGTGGTGACTTGCCTACACTCTGGCACTTATTTTGTGTGGCTGTGGCTGCTTTAGCTTGTAGGCTGTGCTGACAGTTTTACTAGAGAGCCACAGACGAGTTGGGCGCTTTATTCTGCTCACTATCTGTTCTATCTAGCTCATTCCCGAGTGCTATCCAGCTGCTAGATGTCCTTACACTGGGTTGAAAAAAGAATTTCCAGAGCAGGAAATGCACTGTAAATGGGCTGGAAATTTCAATTTTCCAGTCAATTTTCAGTCCTGGAAATGGTACAGGTTTTGCTATATCCCAGCCCGCATTTCCAGCGCTAATGCTATGCGGAAATTGTATGGAGATGATAAACGTCTTGGGTTTCTGCTTCTGCTCTGGAAATTCATTTTCCCACCCAGTGTTAGACAACAAACTCTGCATATGCAGACTTGAAAAATCCTTGCTGCACATGCGTGCAAACTCGGGTGGAAAGAGTAGCTTATGTGTCATGAACACTTAGTAATGACACACAGAATAGAGTAGAACCTTGTAGAAGGCGCTGGAACGTGCCTAAAGGTTCTAGGGTTTGTAGCGACTCAGGTTATGACTCGACTGTGACTCAGAAGGAACATTGTAGAATGGTATAGAACGTTATGGTAGGTACTGGAATGATCTAGTACAGTACTTGTATAGTAGTATATAAGACGCTAGCTGAAGTCGATGGACTTCAGCTCGTCCATCTGTTATACACGCCCTTAGCGTTACAACGATTGGCGACTCGGTTACGGCCTCTCAGAACTAAGACTAAGACACCGCACCCACAACAACCCACAACCACCACCACACTCGACCTAGTGCGTCTAGAGTCCGAACTCTCACACCTAAGTCACACGACACAGCCTAGACTACAACGACAGACTTTATGCCAAGTCTAACAACCACGACGGTTCGGTACCTGCCTAAGGTACCACGATCTAGGGGTTCTTACAGTATGCTCTATTGCAACAATTTCTGCATCGCATCTCAATGCAGACGGTGTCATGGCAGAGACTGCATGTACAGTAACATACGTGCAGCAGATATATCTTTTTGTTTCTATCCGTCTCTTTGTCCCTCCACCTATAACTACCACTTTCCTGCCTGCCAGGGGTATTATATGATTATGTAGCCAGAAGCTGTGTGAATGAGAGTACTATAGACCAATACTCAGGAAACATCTACATTGCTATGATAGGCTATATATGCTATAGAGTACTACCATAGCACTACCGTAGCACTTAACAGCGTAGGAGGCTGTCTGACACGCTGTAGTGAGCTGGGAGCAAGGGAATGGAGCTGCGAGTCGAAGTCTATTGAGATACAACTAGGGACGGACCTGGGAGCAAGGGAATGGAGCTGTGAGTCGAAGTCTGAGGACTCTGGGCTCCATCCCTGCTCCCTAAATACATCTAGCTATGATGGAAGCTATGGGAACAAGTAACAAAGGGAGATATCGAAGCTAAGGAGATAGGGATCAAGGGATCAAGCATGTGGAGATGGACAGTTGGAATCAGTGATCTGAGCAACCAACTGACTGTTGGACCGGTTGCATCAGTTGTGTGGTCAACCAACTGATGTGAACAGATGGGAGGCATGTAGCCAGGAGACCAGCATCAGAGGATGATCAGAGCAGCCAGAAAAGCGGTGACCAAGGGGAATGATGGATGGTAACCACCTAGACTGATCCATCACCATCTTCAACAGCACTCTATAGCTTCTATAGCTCTGGAGTTTTACCAGATGTAGTACCTGGTTCTATTCCCCCATAGGCAAACATTCTGCAATTAATTGTGGCAGTGCTACTGCAGCAGGCTGCCCCTTCCTGGCCCATGTTGATGCTGCTGCCTCCTGAGCTGGATGTAACCATAGCTGCACAGGCATGGCCCCCAGTTGCATCCAGGAGAAAAATCGCACTAAGGATGGCAGGGATGCATGTAGGGCTACACCTAACCCTAAATGCACCACCACGTGATACTGATACTGGCCCCATAGTGCATGCATTTTTAGCATCTCCAGACACCCTAGATGCTGTTGAGGCTACCACTGTCAGCACACTCACTGAACTGGCACTATGCTCATCCTACACTGTTGGTAATAATCACCCAATCAGTGTGGTATATCTATTTCCCCCTATGTAGCCCTATTTGATGACTTTGCAGTAGCTTAGAAAGGTTGCTGCTGCTAGGCAGAATCCTGTCAGAGTACGCGCTGGAGCTCCTAGGATCGGCGCGGATCCCTTGGGACGGCACCGGAGACGCTGTCACACAAGGCAGGGAGGCAACTGAGTATATATATACAAAGGTACGAAGGAAATACACATATCTGTTGCACAAGGCAGGGAGGCAACTGAGAGAACAAGTCTGAGTTGCTCCCTGGTGCAACAGGCGACTATATAGTAGCTGAATAATCCATCAGCACAATGAGATATGGTCCAATGAGAGAAGGGGAGGGTCCTCGGGCACCTGACACATGACCAGGGGAACGGCCTAGGAAGGCCACGTGACGCGCGGAGGTCCTAGGAGCTCTAAGCGGCAGAACAAATAGGGAATATGCCAAAAGGAGCGCACAGGAAGCCTAGGAAGGTGCAGGAGAGCGTGACTGAATAGGGAAGCAGAAGCATTAGGGGAAACCAACAAAATGAGACAGAAGCAGAACCAAAACAGGAACAATGGGACATGAGGCAGGTGTGGGAGGTGTGCCCTGACAACTACAGACCTCCAAGCTCCCTGATGCTGCTCCTGATGAGTGCTAGAGATGAATAACCACACCATTTCACATCCTTTCCTTCTCCCAATTCTCCCTCTATCTTTATTCCATCTCAGGAAAAATCTACATTGCTATGACAGGATATATATACTACAGAGTACTACCATAGTACTGCTATAGCACTCTATAGCTTCTATAGCTCCAGAGTTTACCAGATGATCAGCCACCCTGCTATCTATAGCCCCTGTGTACTTAGTATAAAGACTCATCTTCAAAGGCCCAATAAAGCAGCTCAGTTTTGCCCTAAGTAAAGCAACAAAAGCTCAAGATCTACAGAACTCTATACAACTATCCCAGACATAGGGACCCATGTCTAGGTCATCCTATAGGTATACTGGAAGCGCTAAGCCTACAGTTTTGTGTGGCATTTGTAGTCCACAATTTACCGACTGTCACTCATCCTAGTATAAATTTCCCATACTAATTCAAGACATCATATATTCAACAAGGAACCCTATGGCTCATGCAACACACTGGTAACTCTATGATATACTACTGTAGTGCTTGTATTGCATACACACCCGGAACACACCTCAAGCTCACAGAATTTGTACTTTCCTATGGTCACATGCCTTATCCACCCTCAGTACAAGCTCCTGACTGTGTTTTGGTCAAGCCTTGCATCATTCCAACGGCACCAAATATTCCACCACTTTTTATATGGTGATCTGACCACATCTGACACCCTCCAGCACCCCCACAAATACTTGCCATGTATGTAGATAGCGCAACAGAAAAGTTCACCCCCGTTTGTACCAAGTCCATCTCAGCTTTGCTGTTGCCGTTTTGTATAGCATCCACCCAACTCATAAGAGATTAAAACATCTATATCTCTATCTACTCATCCGGCTGCCTCTGAACTGCCTCACTTCCTTGCACCCCCTTATTACCTTTTCTTTTGGTTTCAGGCTAGCCAGGACTGCATATTACAGTACCCCAACCTATCCGGCAAGACTGACTCAACACTGTGGTCCTGAAAAAGCTGGTGCAAATCTATTTTTGTGCATCACAAAACCATGTTAGCATGAGCAAGCAGAGGGCACTAAGAACAGCTTGAGCTTTCTTGCAGGCACAAGAAGTCTACCTGGTACAGGTAGTGTGGCAGGATATGTGCCTGAAGACGGATAGCTACATGTTCTAGAGTAGCTATGCAATATATATACACTGTCCCTACTCGAGTTCTTGAAGAGTGTGGCTGGTATGGTGCCGATGTTGACAAACAAGGGGGCATTCAGCTACTTTTGCACACTACTGTAGGATGGATGGTAGTCTTAAGGACCTGAATCTGCAGCTTAAGAAACCATCTGCGGGGTGCATGCAGTGCCAGTGTCAAGAATAGAGCCGGGAGTTAGGTATAGCATAGGACCCTGGATAACACCAAGAGAGGTTGGGTACCAGGTAGTGCAAATCAGACGTTTATCATGTGGAGAGCCACCTGCCCAAATAATGCAATCTCATGTCGCCAGGTCCCCAACCTGTGCTACATGTGGACATTCATACCCAACCTTGACAGGCTGGTAGTAATACAGGCATATGATACATCAATACGGTGCTCTACATTTTGCGCTTTTGACAGAGCTTCTTCAGCTTGCAGACCATGTCTGGAATTGTCAGGGCATGCCTCCTCCCACACTCGCCTCATGTCCCATTGTTCCCGTTTTGGTTCCACTTCTGTCCCATTTCATTCGTCTCCCCTAATGCCTCTGCTTCCCTATTTGGTCATGCTCTCCCGCACCCTCCTAGGCTTCCCGTGCACTCCTTTTGGCATATCCCCTATTTGTTCTGCTGCTCAGAGCTCCTAGGCATGTCGCATGGTCTTCCTACACTATTCTACTAGTCACGTGTCGGGTGCCCGAGGACCCTCTCATTGGACCATCTTTCGTTGCGCTGATGGATTATTCAGCTACTATATAGTCGCCTGTCGCACCAGGGAGCAACCCAGACTTGTTCTCTCAGTTGCCACCCTGCCTTGTGCGACAGGTACATGTATTTTCCTTTGTACCCCTGCCTTGTGCGACAGCGTCTTCACTGCTATCCCGGGGGATCCGTGCCGATCCTAGGAGCTCCAGCGCGTACTCTGACAGGAATCACGTCTTTGTCTGCAAGTATCAGCCTGAAGTTGCTGGTGAGGAAGGGTGATAGGAGCTCAAGAGTATCATTGCTTTGTATGAATCTCCTCATGGCCGGTGAACACCCTTTGACAACTCCTTGGTTTTGTGTTGACAGCACAGTACCACAAGAGGCATTAGATCAGCAGCTTTCACATCAATCAGTGGTGATGATACAAGCAATGCAAAGTTAGCATTTGAGGTTTCCATAGGTATACCTAGCATCATCGCAGCCAGGGAAGAGGTAACTCTTACAAGCAGACAATTGACCTCTTCCTGTCCGCGCTCACCAAACATCATCTGGTAAAACTCCAGAGCAATAGAAGCTATAGAGTGCTATGGTAGTGCTATGGTAGTACTCTATAGTATATATAGCCTGTCATAGCAATGTAGATTTTTCCTGAAGTGGTTGATATTGATTGTAGGATGTGTGTGATGGCTCATCCGGATTGCTGGGACGTGGTCATAGGGACAATGGGGAGGACTCGAGGGCACACCCAAGAAGGTGATACATCCACCTCTCATTGTCATGGTCAAGGTCATTGTCGGCAAGCTCACAGATGAGCAGATCCAGCACCAGCCGGTTGAGAAGCTCATCCCCAGTTGCTTTGCCATCCTACCGGTTGAGGGCTGATCTCTCAAACCGGCACTCCTTGCGCAGGGCCCACACAGGGAGCCATCATCATTCAAGACCAGACTGGCACATTTATCATGTGCAAAAGACGTCTAAGGGCCCGCGCCGCCCCCAACTCGTTAGGGGAAAACAGGCAAAGACAGATTGTTATTCGATCCCAGACTCCATCCGGAAGAAATTCCAGGAGGGATAGATGACTCACATACCGCTGAATTACCTCACAGACAAGGCTGTTGCTGACTACGTATGCGAAGAGATAGAGACAAGCAAATAAGATACTGTCAGGGACGAAACTGCAAGGCAAAAATATCGGAAATGCGGAGGTCCGATGTACGGGAAAAGCGGAGATGAACGATACTGAAGCTGAACGGGTCTGGGACAAGTGGACCTAAGTCCAACGAGCAAGGCTGTACTGCCCAGACCACAACACAGAGTCGGATGGATGTGATTCAGAGACAATATCAAGAAGAGTGGTATGCTGACGTCAGAGCAAAGTCAGAGCAACGTCGGAGCAAAGCGGGGCAGAGGCGAACTTGACCCGAAGGGTTGCTACACACTCGAGGTCCGCTTAGGAGCAAAGGGGAAAGAAAGCCTAGTCGATATTGGAACTGAGTAATATCATACAGACAAGCTGGTATAAGTACTAAGCAGAACAATGGAAAAGTTGGAGATGAATCTATCATCAGTAAGATAAAGGGAACAGGGAAGAAGGTCTAAAGTACATGTGGAATACAAAGGGGATCAGTGCCAAGGAAATCGAGCACAAGGAAGAAGAATACAGTGTGAGAACAAGCAAGGATGAACAAAGGGAACATAAGGGAGTCAAAGATACAAAAAGTCCGCCGGAGATCCGTCGGAGGACCGCAGGAAAATGAGTGGCAAAGAGCAGAGGAGACGTCAGAGGACAGTCGGGGATAGTAGGCAATGTTGGCGATGATTGACCCATGACAGATACAGGCGAGAGGAGAGAGGGTGATCACGTGGAGTGACTGGGGGACAGCAGACTGCAGTCACAACACCTCTTATACACACCTTGTTGACACCTCCTCCTTTGGTTAGCCGCTACAAAACACGAGAGACTCACTCTTTCCCATGGGACACTCCTTCAACAAATCACTTTGTGTTACCACATGCAAGGTCACGATCAGCCAAGATCCATAACCCAAACAAGATCAAGTTATCTGGGCCGACCAAAGACCAGCTAGCCAGGGCCTTACACCATGGGTGGGCCCCTTCTACATGGAAAGGATATAATGGCACCATCAGTCACTTCATCAGAATCTGCAGGAAAGAGAAGATACAGCAGCGCTTCTGACTTCCAGCAGACAAGCTGGTACTCTGCACATTTGCTGCTTCAAGTGAGGGTCGACACGCCGGTAGCACAGCCAGGAATGCCCTGGCGGGTCTGAAAGCATGGCATGCAGCACAGAATGCAGAGTGGAAGGGTGGCAAACGGCTCAAATATGTCTTGAATGGGGTGGAGAATAATTGGCCATCCGGTTCCCACCACCTGCCTTGCCTCCCGATAAGTCACAACATGTTGCGCATTCTGAGGGCAAAGCTCAATGTTTTGGACCCAGTGGACACAGCCATCTTTGCAGCTGCATGTGTAGCATTGTGGGGTCAGTGCCGTTTGGGAGAGCTCCTCCCGCCCTCAACAACTGGGGCCACCACAAAGAGATCACCATGTCGAGCCAACCTCACCTTCCCATCTCCCTCCTCATCATCCCACATCATCCATCTCCCCTCAACCAAAGTACACTATAGCCAGGGCAAGGATGTTGTCATCCTCCGCCAGTAGGGATCCTCGGACCCCATTTGAGCTCTTTGCCACTACTTGTACTAGAACAACCCCGGCAAGGCGGACCACCTATTTGCATACTGAACATCCTTCGGCCCATGCCCACTCACCAGATGGTTCTTCATGACGAAGTGCAACACAATCTGGGCTCAAGCAGGCTTACCCGGTTCACCGGACACTCCTTTCACATAGGCGGCACCACCAAATTATTGCTGGCCGGGGTGCCTCCCAATATCATCAAGAAAGCCGGACGATGGTCATCCGATACCTTCCTATGCTACTGGCAAGTTGTCGGAGGCATACTGCCCACGCATATGCAAAGCCTCCTACCAGGAAACCCTCGACACACCTTTTGATGAACTCAACTGCAGGGTGGGGGTCAGCCGGGTGCGCACACCCTGTCTGGGTTGCAGTCTGGGTGAGCCATCACACTCGCACCTGGCCTACACCCAAGCTAAGGCTTCCCCCACATACACCATTGGTGGCCCTCTTGTTGCACCCCCAGCACCAGATCTGTAGGACTGCAGCCTGCCCAAGAGTGGATGCACCAGAGCGGAGGCAATGTGTGGCAGTGCTGTTTCTTGGGTGGCAGAGGTTGCCTCGCTGGCTGCTTGCTTCCAAATTTGAGGGGGGAAGAGGGGATTGACCTTCCTCACCTCTTTTCATATCCCACCCTCCACTCCCTATCCACTGTGTCCAAAGAGAAGAGTCAAGCAGACGCACGATCATCTTGCTTGTCTACACCATCGATGTCTTGCACATAAAGCGGAGACCTTTTGCAATCAATTGTGATGATCTTACCCTGTCTGTAATGTGCTATGCTCTGGCCAAATGTGAGTAATCAAGCACCAGAGAACAGACTATTCCGCAATGTCTTGCAAGCATGCTTGATGTCTTGGATTATAGCAAATGGCTGGCTATGTAGACTGAAAGTGTATCAATATCTGGGATCCTGAGCCATCCGGTGAGCAATCACATAAGATATGTCATCACAATCCCTGACGAACAGTTGGTGGTGATCGCACTCAACTCCAGTGCCATCTGATGCAAGACTGACAATGACAAAGCCTGCGGGCAACACTTGATCTAAGACAGATTGTTCTCATGTAGCCAGTTACACTGCACCATTTGTTGTATCAATTGGGATGACAGCAAGTATCAGCGGAGAGGTACATTTGGCAACAGGATCTGGAGTATCCACAATCAAAGTCTATTGCCTTGACAAACTCTGCTGAATTGAGCTCTTCTTCAAGCTGGTCAATGTTGCCAACCTCAAGAAGGTCTATGCAGCTGCCAAGAATAAACCACTTCTTGAGTGACCCATCCCAGTATGGTCAGAAGGCGGGATGAAGGTTTGAATCATCTACAGCAAGAGCGACTGGGCCTGTCTTGGGGTATGCATAATCAGATAGGTACTGCTCAGCCTGTGCAACAAGCTCTGGAGAAACTCCCTGGTGGAAGTGTGGTGCAGTGGATCATTTGTGACAGAAGCTTCGTATAGAACACCCACAAAAGTATGTTGTGAAGGGTACAACTGTGGTTTGACAATACTCAGTTCCAAACAGAACTGGTCATAGAACTCCAGATATCACATATTCTGAAATCCCTGGATGCGCATCAGATATCCTTCGACCTTTGGTTTACAACTCTTGGTAATCCCGGTACATGGCCGCTTATGCCCCTCTTTCAGATTGAGAGCCTTCACAGCTGTGACGGTGAAGGAAGGAGCAGTGGTGGGTAGAGTTAACAGAGATGGTGTCAGAGTACGCGCTGGAGCTCCTAGGAGCAGCGTGGATCCCTTGGGATGGCAGCGGAGACGCTGTCGCACAAGGCAGGGAGGCAACTGAGTATATATACGAAGGTACAAAGGAAATACACATACCTGTTGCACAAGGCAGGGAGGCAACTGAGAGAACAAGTCTGGGTTGCTCCCTGGTGCGACAGGCAACTATGTAGTAGCTGAATAATCCATCAGCGCAACGAGAGATGGTCCAATGAGAGAAGGGGAGGGTCCTCGGGCACCTGACACATGACCAGGGGAACGGCCTAGGAAGGCCACGTGACGCGCGGAGGTCCTAGGAGCTCTAAGCGGCAGAACAAATAGGGAATATGCCAAAAGGAGCGCACAGGAAGCCTAGGAAGGCATGGGAGAGCATGACCAAATAGGGAAGCAGAAGCATTAGGGAAAACAAACAAAATGGGACAGAAGCAGAACCAAAATGGGAACAATGGGACATGAGGCGAGTGTGGGAGGCGTGCCCTGACAGATGGTTCAGAAAGTGTACCAAGGTTTGGAGAGATGCTAGTCCTTGTAATGGCATGAAGGCCAATATCCAAGGTGTGGGCACCTTTTCCCAACTTCGCACCTTTAGGCTGATACAGCCCTGGTTGCGGGCAATGCCCCTTGACATGCTCCCAGAAACCCTCAGTGCCATAGACTGTATCGACCTTGATCCACTTCTGCAAGTTGAATGACAAAAAGAACATGGCTGCACCTCGTCAACCTCGCAGTTGACATCAATCCGCTTGCACCAGTTCTTCTAGGCATTCCAGCGTGCTCTGTCCTTAACCCATGACTCTTCTTTGACAGCATCTTTGAGAGCTTTGGGATGCTTTGAATTGCAATGCTTAGTCTCAGAACATCGAGTGTCTGTGATGATGTGTGTAGGAAAAACCATGATGTTTGTCTGTAGTATGACACCCGCAATCTTTGGCCTTTTAATATTCCTTTGTAGAAGCTCAGGAGAGTGTTTACGCCTTGCAAAAGTCATTACACATGCAGTTGAAGATGTCTGAATGGGCGCATGGGAAGCTGAGGGCAGAGGTTTGCGGGTGGTGGCAGATTTTGTCATGGGTGGAGGCATATCAAGAGTAAGAGGAGGCAAATCAAGAGCAGGTGGAGGCGTATCCAGGGCAGGTGGACCAGTTACTGCAGGTGAAGGCCTGTCAGAGGCAGGTAGACTAGTGACCAGTGGTGAAGTCTGGTTGATGTCTAGGGGAGAAACAATTGGCGAGCACAATAGAAACACTTTCTCGGTGAACAAGTTGTGATGAAATTTCTGTATGTTACACTCTACCTGAAAGATGATACTATGAGTGTGTTGAAGATAGAGTCACAAATGTGAGTGTGTACCCAATTAGAACCAAAGCAATGCTCCATGATATCTAGAAACTCCTGTATGGGCAGGCACTCCCAGCAGGCTTTTGTCCATAGCTGATCTCCAAACAGGGAATGCTTTAGAGTGTTAATAGCAATGATCCTGTAGGAGTATCCATCCATCTGAATAGCACAGTCAAGAGACTGACTAGTCCAAGGAGAGCCAACAGAATTTGAGCTATGAAACTTGTAACATGTTGTGATGCCATTCTGGAGGTGTGGCAGAATCTTCCTGTTGATAGAATCACCCTGTCATATGGTGCGGTTTTTGCAGTCAATCTCACATGCAGCCCAGTGATTATGTGGGCTGGATGCAACAAAGAGAATGTGGTGAGCCAGCTTATCTTGGAGATGATAGTCTGCAACCTGCAACAGATGTTTGATATTGCAAGTGGCTGGGCGAGCTAAGCATGGGGTATTGGCCAATGCATACAAGAACTGATCGAGCATGAGCAAAGGAGCTGGGATTGAGTGGTCTGGATGTAGTAACAAGAGCTGAGCTAAAAGCCAATCCATCATGGCATCGATGTGGTCATGGCTCAGATACTCGTTCAACAGCCACTGATGTACTCAGGAAAAATCTACATTGCTCTGATAGGCTATATATACTATAGAGTACTACCATAGCACTACCATAGCACTCTATAGCTTCTATAGCTCTGGAGTTTTACCAGATGGCTGTCCTGCACCCTTTTTGCAAAAGGTGCAGAAACATGTTGTTTTGCACGTGCCTGACTCCACCAGCTTTGTAATCTCCCACTAGCCAAGACATGCACAAGAGTTGCACTGAGGGAAGCACAAAGTCAGAAAATTATTCACTCAACCTGCACCACAATGTTTGGATATCTCATCGCTGCTGCTCACCACGTCGCCAATGTTCTTTATCCTGCCTATGTGCAGGAAGATGATCATTGCATTCCTCACTCTCCACCACTTGCCATCGAGTACACATGCGAGACTGTGACAACTATCCAAGTTCACGGTAGCAAGGTAGCAAGCACATTGAATACACTGTGCATCAGTTTCAGCCACCTGCCTATGATGGCCACATCTTCGACACCAATTCCCTCTGTATCCCTCCAAATGAGGAGACCTGTCTGTTCTGGATGACATATCATCCACTTCTACACGCACACTCCAAGCTCGGGGACATCTTTCAGTTACAGCTATACAACAGGCCCAACCAGATCACAGCAGACATGCATTTCCAGCGAGCCATCTACAACAATGTTGACGATGTAATTGTCATCCTTGCTACTCTAGCTGCTCCTGCTTCACTCTGCCAAGTTCACACCAAGCTTTTCCAATACTTTGCCTTTAAGCACTACACCATGCTCTCTATGGTTCTCAAGAGCAAAGGTCTCCCACTCGCCGAAGATCCATGGCATTATATTCCCATCTTTGTACCTGCTGATCACCTTGGACGTACATGTCATGACTTGCGTACTTGAACCCACCCCATTGGTCACGTCCGTCTCTATGCTGCAAATGGCATCAAGCAGAGCAGAGCTGCTTCACACTCCCTTACAACGATATCTGCGGACATTACCCCAACCCCTTTCCAGTCACAGGACTGCTTCAGTACTCAACAATGTACAAATATGGATCTGAGGTCGATCTTCCCATCAGGCTGCATCCCAATTGGGTGTATCAACTCACATCAGACGAGGATGAGTCAGACTTGGAATTGTTGTCAGGTAGACAGCACTCATTGTTGGGTGTACAGCACTCATTGTTGGGAATACAGGAGTCGTCGTCGGGCATACAGGATTTGTTGCTGGGCATACATGATTTGTTGTTGGGCGTACAGTACTCAGTGTTGAGTGTATAGAACTTGTCGTTGGGCAGGTGAGATTAGCTGTGCAGGGTGTAGGGTTGAGGGGTCTTGCAGGATGATGAAGATAGGATGGTCACCATGTGAGTCACTCTATATTGCTGCCAAGAACAAGGCTGTGTGGTTCATCGACGCAACAAGATTCTACCATCGGATAGTAACCACATGGAGATGTTTGTACTTGAGATACTCAGGATGCCATCAATATCCATGTAGCCTCATAGCATAGTCTTGCAGCGCAGCCTTCATCTCTGTAAACAACAGTGACTCAGTCAGTTAGTATAGAAACCGTCCGTTTTCATGTAACATAGCTTGGGTTCTTGTGTCAGATCAATTGCCTCATTCTGAATTGCCCTAGCACCGTTGCCTAGTGGCCTAGTGGGATTCAGTCTTATAGTTTCTTCTTTATCTCTTCAAGTCGTCACATCTAGCTACCAGTTCTCACACCTTCACCTCTGCTCTCTCATCTTCATTGCCTTCTTATCTATAAGACCAAACTCAACTGGATAGTCCTCAGCTTTCTGATAAGGCTTGGGAACCCAGGCAGAAGTCTCTTCACTTATAAAGTGACTTGCACTTCTTACGCGCGACACCGCTACCCAGCATAACAAGCTCAATGTTCTTTGGCAGGAGATCTAGGTTCTCTGACACTCCTGCCATGGAGGATCTCATTTGGATTCTAGGTCAGCTGGTCTCATCTTCGAAGCTGCTCAGCGACCTTTGCTCTGAAGCTGGCTAGGCCGTGCTTGACGGAAGGATATCTATTCATATAGCCTGCGAGAATGTACACCTTCTGTTTTGTGCTATTGGTATCTGGCAGCATCTGCTGAAGGCTATTACCGCACAAAGGATCTGGAAGAAGGCCTTGAAGTGGCTTGAACAATTACCGAAGGACACGCTGGAGGATCAACAGCTCTTGAATCGTGTTTTGACAATCCTAGGCCATGTTCCATGGGACTGTTCCATTCCAGGTCTTTCAGCACCGGTGTCAGTCTCCAAAACGGCCAATTTCCTGAATCTTCGCGCAGATTGGGCATAATTTATATATCCAGAGTCGTGATGTGGCTAGGAAGCATTCTATGATACAGTCTTGCATGCAATAATGGATACAGATGCCGTGGCCTCGGCACACTGCCGACCGACGGACTAGGAAGCATATATACTACGAGATGACAACGCGGGGCAAGGTCGGAAAATCAGGATCCGAACAAGGTGTTCGGTTCGGACGGTGAAGCGGGCCAAGGAGATACGGAGTCCTCCAACATTATACCACTTATCCGGTTGAAGACAGCCTGAGGATATTGCCTAGAAAGGAGTCGGAGCAGAAGGAGTTAGAGCAGAACACTTCTAGCAGTGGGGTAGCAGTGGAGAGACATACCTAGCTTGTAATCGATCGAGCAAGCCTAAAGCCTGTTCACGATTGCCAGCGCCGAGTTCAGCGCGAATCATTGCTTCCCATGTCGAAGGCTGTAGTGCAAGGCAGAGCATCAGCGCGTGCACATCGATAACGAAGCTAGTGGGGAACTGGCCTCACGGAACACCGGCGCGTTCGCAGGGACAGCGTCGGCGAGGGCACCTTCGTGGGGGGCGTGATTATTGGGAGCGGCTATACCCATCGGCGGGTCGACCAACGACTCAAAGATACGACGCGATTCGTCGAGTTGTCCGGCGGCGGCGTAGCCCTTAATGAGGAGGTTCGCGATGTATGCGGTCATATGCAAACCAAACTCCTTCAGCCTCTCCACGTAACCAGGAATGAGATCAGGCCGCCGGAGCGTAACGAAGACATTGATGAGCGCCTCGAAGACCAACGAGTCGGGCATCTGAACGTCTTGGTTGGCAGGATGGCTGGAAAGTGACTCGAAGATCTCGATAGCCTTGTCAAGGTTCTTCTGCACGCAACCGTAGGAATGGATGAGCGACGCCCAGTGAGTACCTTGCACTTGCACGTGCGGGTCCTTGATGATCTCTTCGAGCAATTTCTCCATCGCCTGCGGGTCCACCGGTTCAATCGTCCCGTAAGCGTCGAGAAGGAGCTAACACGCCATTAGCTTCGAAATTGCGTCAACGAGCATCGGACTCGCCTTGTACGTGTGCGCGGATGGGCGTACCCCAGCTGCACGCAAAACGTCATAATATCGAAGGACTTGGCTGCGGTCAGGCTTGATCTGCGTGTAGAGCTGCATCATGGTGTTGAACGGCGGCACCCTGGGCTTGAAGTTCGGTTGGCTCGCCATCTCCTGGAAGAGGAGCTCTGCGGAGTGCGCGTCGCCGACGCGGCAGCATGCAGAGATGATTGCGCCATATGTGACCGACGTTGGCCGAATGTTGTTCGCCTTCATCTGCTGGAAGAGCTCGATGGCATGGTCAGCTTTGCGCGCCTTGGCTAGTTTGGAAATGATGGTGTTGTAGAGGTACACGTTCGGTTGCACACCGCGCGCCTGCGCCTCGTCAAAGAGCGCCATCGCGTTGGCGGTGTCGTCCGTGGTGTCCTTGACGCACTGGATAAGCGCGCCGTACGCGTCGGCGGAGGGCGCGCCGCCCTGCTCGATGACGCGAGTCCGGTGTGTGTGCGCTTGTTCAGCCTGACCCGCGTGCGCAAGGGCGATGACCATCTGATCCTCGATAGTGAACCATACCCTCTGGAGGTAGTTTCGCTGGCCGTGGTTCAGGGCGCTCATGAGCAACTGCGCCGCGTCGTAAAGTTCCTGCACCTTCGCGACTTCGCCCACGCGGCCCAAGCCGTTGATGAGGCGCCCAATCGTCTCGATAGTGGGATACACCCCAGCCTTCGCGCCGACCTCGAATCGGGCGTACGCGGTGTTTGGCGATGTAGAGGAACCGGGCATAGTCCACTCGCTGACGAACTTGTCTTGCTCCTTGTCCACGCGAACGTGGTCTCCTGGGGTCACCGGGCGCGCGAGCGCAGGGTCCTCCGCCGGTGTCTTTGTCAACACAGGCGAGGAGAACTGCCGGATCTGGCTCATGTCGAGATGCTGCTCATATTCGCGACCAAGGTGCGTAAAGAGCGCCTGCAGCTTCTCGGCGCCCTGTTTGATGTAGACCGCTTGAATGAGCTTCGTAACAACGTACGGAGCAAGATTGTCCAGAGGTACGCCGAACGTTTTCAGGTCGTTCAGGAAAGCAGCGGATCCCGCGTTGATGAAGTTGGGAGGTGTGCTAACCACTTTGTCCTCCTTCGTCGGAAGATCGAGTATAGACACGCTCAAAGCCAGCGTTTCCCAATCCTTCGGCTCGAGCACGATGGACTCGCCGTTCCGCTTCGCTTGGTAGTACGGTTCCAAATAGAATGCGGCAGAGGTGATAGTTGGCACTTGGCCGAATTCGCGGCAGAGTCGGCCGACGCGCAGGGCAAGAGGGAGCGGGACGGAAGTGGGCGGGTTGGTGGAGCGACCAAGAAGAATAGCAGCGACCTTGTCGAGGAAACCGCGGACCCCGTGGGCCCGATCCTCGTGCTTATTCTTGGGTCCCTTCGTTTTCTGCACGTTGGGGAGGAACCGCTTGTACTGCTCGGCGAAGTACTCCATGATGTCGGCGCCCCGGGCAGCAGCATGATGCTTGACATAGAGCTGTACGATGCGCTGTCCGATGTAGAGATGATCGAACTCCGCCGCCAGTTCGTCGTCGGGGAGGCAGTGATCCTTGATGAAGTCTAGCCGCTTGACGGCGTCCGCATCGGATATGTCCGGGTTGGAGTCGATAGAGCGGAGGTTGGTGTGGATGGCGAGGACTGTGTCGGGAGCGTCGAGGCCGTCCTGATTCCGCAACTCCTTCATCTTGACGTATAACCGGTTGAAATCATCGACCATGCCCGCCTTGGAGAGATGCTCCATCATGACATTCCACGCAACCGAATCCGGACGAACAACGTCACGACTTGACGCGAACGGGTGCTGCAATGGTGCATTTTTGTGCTCCAGAAGACGGTTGAACCACGTAAGCGCCGTCGTGACGTCCCCGGAGCGGCAGAAACCGGTGATGACCGTAGTGAACGTGGACGAGGCAGCCGGCGGGACGTCGGTCTCGCCGAACATGGGCTCGGCGGGAGAGTCCATCATCTCCTCCAGCAGTCCAACCGCGGCTTCATCGTTCCCCGCGCGCATGTGAGCCTCGATCATCTTGTTCCACATCAGGATCTGCCCCATGCGCGCATACCCGGCGCGCTTCTCGTCGGAGAGCGCATCGTACGCGTTCCCAGAGCTAGCTGGACCGGACTGGGGCCAGTTCACACGCCTTTCGCGGGACGCTTGCAGGAACTCAGCAAAAATTTGCTGCGCGCCGGAGAAGTCGTTCGCGTTGACGAATGCGGCCATCATATGCAGGTAAACCGTCGGTGGGGGGAGTGTGTCCTTCTGGCGCTCGAGCTGAGCAAAAATCTGGATGGCGGCATCGATGTTCGCGTGGTGGGCGGCGCAGCGTAGGAGGCTGACGAAGAGACTGAAGTTGATACGCCACTGAGAGCTGACGGAAGTGAGGCTCGTGAACAGGGCCATGGCGGAACTGAAGCTCGATGCGCTCTCAGCTTCGTACCGCGCAAGGCGAGAGGCGTCCGGGTCCTCCAGAGGCACCTCCTGCCACCCGTTCGATATCTGTCGCCGGCCGTGCTTGTACTTGATCAGGGTCATCGCTCGTTGAAGCTCCATGTCGCGAGAGGTGAGGGCATATATGAGCAGTGTGTAGGTGTGGGGAGAGGGGAGGACGGAGCGGGCGACCATGTCATTGTAGAGCTCGAGGATGACGTTGATGGGCGAGCCAATTTTGCGCGTCTCGTTGAGTGCGGAGAAAGCGGTGTTGTAAGTCTGCACGGAGGAGGAGGCGTGGGCGGGCGAGCGTAAAGTAGCAACCAGGGAGAGGACCTTCGCGCCGTCCTTAGCAGCAACGGCGTCCGAGAATGCTGCACGGAGGGCGACGTCGGACGGGTCCTCGGTGTGTGTGTGGTGAAGGTCCGGGGCATTGACCGTTTGCGGGGCCGCGGGGTCAGTAGATACGACGCGCTCTGGCGGCGGTTTTGGCGGCGGTTCAAGAGCTTCATGAGGTACGTCGGTGGCGGTGGCGGCCGTGGAGTTGGACCGGTGCTGTTGAAGGACAGAGGAGAAGGTCTTCTGGGATTGAATGTGCAGCTGGACGGCCTTGAGCACACCGAGCTTCGAGCGAGTCACGACGCTCGAACTTCGACCACGCGATGAGCGCAAAGACACGAGCTTGGGTTGAGATTCTTCATCGTCGAACTGTCCGTCCTGCGCAGACGAGGTGTTCGCTTGTGTGATCGCCCTCCCGGCGCCCTATACGACGCAAGACTTCAGTCACTTCCGCCCGCAGTGCCGCTGAGGCGACGACACTCACGGTGTAGCCATGATAAAATCGACTGCTGGAGTGATATTTGGCACCCCCGGGGCCAGCGCCAGCGCCGCCACCGTAGCTGGACGAGCCCGCGCCGTTCCAGCCGCCTAAGCCGCCCGACGTCGAGGGTCCCTGGAGCGCGTTCTTGAGGGCATGGCTCGACTGATTCTGAACGGCGGCGACAACACGGGAGGTGTGCTGGATCAGATGGTTGGCAACTTTGGTGAGCATACTGGTAGTGGACGGGGTATCTAGACCTGCGAGCGCGCAGGCTAGACTGGTGGCGGAGGCTTATTACAGCCTGGCCGTGAGTTGACGGAGGACGCGAGCGAGCCGCGAGCCGGAGACGCGTACCGCAACGGCCACCCGCAAATTTCGTCACAGACGAATTGTTCCCGGGACGGTTCATCCCGACGTGGCTGTGCCAGCGCTTACCATGTGAACCTTGTTATAAGCGCTGGGCTTGTATGAACCCCGACGAACGAGGCTGCACTGCTTGACTTGGCACGTCTCCCATGTCGCGCATGATCGCGACAAAACAATGTACGGCTATGCAAGCCATACCAGGACACTGGCTGTGTACGGCAACATGACTGCGACTTTGCTGATCGAGGCGATGCATCGGCGATAATATCATGCTCCCTCGCCTGATTGCCTTTACACAATGCGATGCGGCGGATATTCCGTACAAAAGAGCAAGGCTACCTGTCGCGATTGATACTTGCAATCTCTCAGCATCACCATGTCGTTGGCACCCGCACCTCACGCCGTTGGAGTCTTCCCCGCGTACAGCCAGCATCGGGGCGAGGTCGCGCTCAAGATTCGCGAGAAAAAGATATCCCTCACCGGTGATGACTTTGACATTACGGACGCCGCCAACGGCGCGAAAATCTTCCACGTAGACGGCAAGGCGTTCTCTCTCCACGGGCGCAAAGGTGCGTACCCCTTTCATTGTATGAACTGGGCCGACGCTAATCGCTCCCATTTCCAGAGATTTCCGACGCCGCCGGCAACCACCTCTTCTCCCTCCTCAAGTCGCACTTCCACATCCACACGACCTTCCACGGCAAGGACCCCGCGTCGGACGCGACGATCTTCACCATCAAGTCCTCCTTCAGCTTTGGCACCAAGCTCACTTGCTCCTTCCACAACCCGACCACCGGTCGCGACGAGGAGCTCGTTCTCAAAGGTGACTTTTTCGACCGCAAGGCCGAGATCACCTACAACGACGTACCCGTTGCGCGTATCGGTCGCAAATTCTTCAATGCGGGCCAACTGCTGTTTGACGACCAGACTTACATCCTCACGGTCGCACCGGGTGGTGAGTATCCTACACTGCTCCTATTAGAAAGTATCGCTGATAAACGTTTTGCTCTGTGCAGTCGATCTCGCACTGCTAGCTGCGTTCTGCATCTGCTTGGACGAAAAGTCCAATGACCAGAAATAATCGGATCTTTGATGTTTGTTTCGGCCAGCACTCGGATGATACCCATTTATGTAATCGAGACACAACAATAATGATATGCAGACACGTTTTCTGCCGTCAATCCTGATCGGACCCTTTAATGGCTAGACAAGAACAAGGCGGATTGCACATACATCGAATCTGCAATGATATAGTTCCGGGCGGGTCTTTACGAGCAACGAGCACATCCTATTAGGTACAGTATAGTACAGTGGAAGGATGCCCTGGGGCGAGTGTCGTGCCACTTGTTGACGAAGACACGGCCACGACACTCTACACCTTCTCGAGTAAATCTGCCACGGCACTCGCCTTTTTGTCCCCAGAGTGCATGTCTTGGATTTTCAATTCCCGCATCCGCGTCAAGATCGCCATCAGCATCGCAGGCGTGACGATTCCCTGCACACCGCCGTCCGCGCCCCCGCTGAGATCCCGCATCGCTGCCAGCCCCGACCCGACGAGTGACCCGCCGGGTGCGTTGCCGTACGCACCGGTGTTATGCGTCTGGTCGGGCGTGCCGCTGCTCGTGGTGTTCGTCCCGCTTCCGCTGCCGAGCGTGCCCGAGCTCGTGCCCAGGCTCGTGCGCGACGCGGACCGCTTCGTGCCGCGCTTGTTGGCGACGGCGCTCGCGAACGAGGAGTTGAGGCTGCCATGGTGGTGCAGACCTGTGTGCGCGGTAGGGCTAAAGCTGGAGGAGGCTGGCGCGTCTTCGGAGTAGCGGTCGAGGAGGGCGTAGAGCGAGATGATCTCTTGCGCGCAGGTGGCGACGAGTGGCATAGAGACGTTCAGGCCAGCGAGGAACTCGATCGGGTCTTGCGCAGACGCGACGGACGGTGGATGTTTGGACGTTTGGCGGGAAGAACGCCGTGAGGGAGCCGCGGCTGGACTCTGGTAGGATGGAGTGGTGGTAGATGTCAACGCGGACTGCAACGAGGAAGAATTCGATGGCATGGAGTATGAGGGCTGGAGGTTCAAGGTCGCGCGGGTCTTCTCGTTCAAGACAAGGGTGAGGTAAATAGCTGCGATGGCGATGATATGTGGAGGGTACAGCAGGCAGAGCTCTGAGCGGTAGGTATCATTGATGATGAACCTTGAAGACGCGTCAGGATAGCCTCTCCGACGGTAACGATACACGTACCACGCCATCTGCAATGCGCCGTCTTCTCTCAGTATCAGTTTACCTTCACCGGTGCCCCAATATCGCGAGCCTTCAACGATGCCAACGCCGAGCTCGCCGTCCTCTGAAGCAGGGTTCACCGGGTCTTTAGAGCAGAGTGCCATGAGCGTGCGGTAGGGATGGAACACGGTCAAATCGCACTCCAGATCGTCGACTAGGTAGAACTCCATTTCTGCCAGACGAGAGTTCTCGTTGGGAAATGACTTCAGGTTGTAACCTTCCTCTGCAAAGCTGCCCGATGAACATGACGCCTCGCGAACGAGCAGAGCTGGAGCTTACGATTGAACACGGTCCTTGCTTCCGACAAGACCGTCTTGATGTGTACAGGAGATTCTTCCGCCTTGGCCGCAACATAGCAGCAGGTGGCGATGACGATGAAAGGGTCGATCTCGCAGTATGAGTTCTTGACGTAGAATCTCCGGAGGAAGACAGTCGCGGTAGCGATCACTCGCTGCTTCAGCTGAAGTCTCTTGCCCAGCTTCGCAATCACTACGCAATTATGAGTTACCTCAGAGCCGTGGTCAGCATGTCGTAGACTCACGGTTGGCGAAGAATATAGCGAGGAAGTCGAGGTGCTCTGGATCTTCGACATGGAGCAAATCCTCTGCCCTCGCCTGACTGAGCGTAGCCCTGTCAAAGATCCAACGCTTGCTGCTCGTTCAGACATCGTGTTTAGGTCAAAGGGTGTGCATCTCACTAGTGGGAACTGGCCCAAAAGTCGGTCGCCATCGTTCAGCCGCTTTGTGGGGTCGCCGAGGCGAGGAAAGCGGGAACGGGGAGGCTGTGCACATCCTCCAGGTTATGGATCGCCACGAGTACGACCTCCGCGAACAGATTATGGCCGACGTGCAGGCTCACGAGGCGCTCACTAGCGACGAGGAGCACTCGGTCCTCGAAGATGATTCGGACGATGGCCAGGGCGAGCATGACTACATCGACGACGACGACGGCTCCTCCGAGCTCTCTATACCCAACGAGTCCATCGACTTTGACCTCGTCTATGCGCTGCACAGTTTCGCGGCGACCGTGGAGGGCCAGGCGAATGTTGTCAAGGGCGATAGTCTATTCCTCATGGACGATAGCAACAGCTACTGGTGGCTGGTGCGCGTCCTCAAAACCCAGGAAGTGGGATATATACCCGCGGAGAACATTGAAACACCGTTTGAGCGCTTGGCGCGGCTGAACAAGCACCGGAACGTAGACGTGCGTACATTATCGGTATACTTGAAGTGTGAGGTGTTAACACGGTCGACTCACCCACAGCTGGCGTCCGCGACCCAAGCGGAATTGCAAGAAGAGGTCCAGGGCGAGCGCGATCGGCTCCGCACCAACCTGAATGCGCGCATAGCAGCCTCGCCTTCCCCCACACCCGGCTCACGCTCAGGCTCTAAGAACACTCAACACCGCCGAAGCGTGGTCTTCACCCCTGGCCTCTACGTCCACCGATACCCTCCTGCTGTCTGGAACGAGGATGAGGAAGAGGATGACGACGTCGAGTGGGATGACGAGGGCTATGAAGATGAGGATCCGGACCTCGCTGAAGAACAGAGGTCCGTCCGCGGTCAAAACAACGTTCTCGATAACATGGAACCCGACGACGGGATGAGTTGGGAGGACGGCGCAGTCGATGCCATGCGCCAGAATAATATTCCCGTTTCGCTCAGGGCGGGCGGCGGTACTCAGCCGTTACAGCAGCGTGCTAGGCAGCCGCTGGACGATCAATCCATCCAGTCCCAGCCCTCCGTCGACCGCTTTCCAGAAGCGGGTATGGATCCCGAGCAAGCGCCCGAGTCCACCAGGCAGTTGTCTGTCACACCCACCATCGCACGAGAGGGCGTTATGGAAAGCCAGCAGGCGGCGGCACAGGCGTCTATATCTGCTACCGCCGACCGATCCGGTACCAGCTCCGCCTCACAGGCTGGCGGCCCGCTGCTACCCAGCATGATTATGCAGCAACAAGAGCAAGATCGGAAGCGAACCCGAGAGGAGATTGAAGCGCTCGAGGAGGCGGCGCGGAAGAAGGCAAATGTTGCAAAGGGCCCTGGCCCCGGTGCGGGCCCAGTGCGGGTCGCTACGGATGCACGTGGCGTTGCCCCTAGTGCTAGCTCCAGTGGCGATAGCCTTGGACAACCTAGTGCGAACAACAAACCCTCTGGGGGCAAACTGAGGAAGGAGAGGGACCGCGAAACCCAGAGCACGGACGAGGAGGGCGGCAAGGAGAAGAAGAAGAAGGGCGGTGTCCTCAGCGGTCTCTTTGGCCGTCGCAACAAGGAGAAGGACAAGTCGAAGGACAGGGATGCGAGCAGCGAAACTGTGCGTGAATCGGAGGAGTCAGGTCGCTCGAGCGGACAGCTGCAACCACAGTCATCGAACATGTCCATACCTGACGGATTGCGCTCACCCGTGTCGGAGGCCGCGCACTTGCAACAGCAGAACTTCCGGAACTCGACAAATCCCCGGCAGTTGCAAGCAATGCAACAGCAGCAGACACCCCAGACGCCGCCGCACGGCCAGGCATTGTCCAACCAGGTTAGCCCGCTCTCGCAACACGCAAGCACTCTCAGACAGCGCGATCAGCAACAGCAGGCGCTGTATCAGCAGTATCTGAACCGCTCCCCGGCAAGTCCACCAGAGGCTCAGCCGAGCTACGGGTTGCAAAGCGCTGCGGCAATGGGCCACTCCACTTCTTTCAGCTCGTCAATGGCGAACACATCAGCCAACCTTAGCCCGAACTCCGAGGGGCGTAGGCCGCGACCGGGCTCGCTCGTGCTTACGAGCTCGAACATGGATGGCGGCGTCGGCGTGCCGGAGCTCAGCGTGATTAGGGTGTTTGCGGGCAAGAACGTGCAGACAGAGGCGACGTTTAAGACGGTTTTGCTCAACTCGTCCACGACATCGTCGGATCTTGTCCGGCAAGCCATACAGAGGTTCCGCTTACCTGCGGGAGAGGACGAGGGAGACTATTACCTGACGGTGAAGCAGGTCGAGGGTTCCTCGGCGGTGCTCAAGTCGGAAGAGCATCCATTAGTCGTGTTCGAGACTCTGGTGGAGGAGGCAATGGAGGCTCCTAAAGTTAAGAGGAGTAGTGTCGGCAGTATTAGCTCCGTTGCGAGCAACCTCTCTATGCACCCAGCCATCAAGAAATTGCCGATGAACGACTTCACGGACGACTCGGCGGTCAAGTTCTACTTGAACCGTCGGAGCGAGCGCGCACTCGACGACAGCTTTGGCACCGACGAAGGGGACGAAACCATCATCGCGGAAAGCTCTCGAGGTGAAGATACAGGCCAGTTCCTCACTGTTGGAAGTGCGAATGTGTCGGCGGAGCGGTTCAGCTCGCCGTCGTTCAGATTTGCATTGCAACTCTACATATACCCAGAGGATCTACCAGACGACATGGTATTCGACCCTCTTACCGAAGCGATCATCTTCAAGAATACGCTTCGCAACCGGGCACAGAACCACGAATCCCGAACCGCATCAGGCGTGTCCCAGAGTCAACGGAGAAAGATCTTCGTGTTCCCGAAGAATGTCACTGTAGCCGAAGTCATCGAGCTTGGACTTGAACGCTTCGGGATCCTCGAAGGTGTGGTCGATGGTGGGGATGAGGTAGAGGACAAGATGACCAAGAGGAGGAGCTCTTCTCGCGTGCGTTATAGCCTTCATGTCGATGTCAATGGTCAAGGTCAGGCCCGTCCCGCATTCCTTGGGGTAACATCGCTTATGGAATCGGCTTAGAACGTGAACTTTCTCCCTCGACAAAGGTCATCGATGCGTATCCCCGTCCACCGGCCTATCGCCCAACCGAACGACGCGCCCCAGACAGCAAAAGGCGTTCGGTCGACTTCGCGCAACTAGTTGGAAGTCCGGAGGACATATCCCCAGACGACCCTATCTTCATCCTCCGTCGCGCGGTGGCGTACCGCAATTCTTCCTCGAGACACCGTACCTCAGCTCCATTAGACGAGATCGCCCTCCAGCATCTGCAACGAGACTTAGTCGCAAGCTCCAGCGACAGCTCTGTTGCCGAGGAAGCGAGAAGTCGCCAAATGTCGAAGCAAGAACTCATCGCTGCACAGCGCGCAGCAAAGAGAGCAGATCAGCGTGCGATACTGTCCGCTCAGACGAATTCCCTTCGTGGAGTCGACGTCTTGCTGCCCGGCAATGCCATATTACGCAGTTCCCGCTACGAAGTGGATGATCGGATACGCTACTCGTATGTGGATGGCGACGGTGAGACGTACGATATCAGTGACATCATCGAGGAGGAGTGGCAGGACGAATTCGGACAACGAAGCCCGACAACCGGCACAACGAGTCAAGACCTCCTGCAAGGGGTTCTCGTTCGTAACAAGGAGGCTATTGGGGACAAGCTGGACAGGGTGCTGAACAAAGTGAAGGAGGGTAGGCGAGACCCTGAACCGTCTTCGGCGAAGTCCGCTGTCAGTCTTGCCTCGATGCAATCATCCGCCTCATCCGCGTACTCCGATGACTCGCGCGCGATCACCCCGGTATCGGCTCGACTCGGCGCTCGTTCGCCCACACCGACCGACAGTCAACGCATTGTCTCGCCTGGGCCTGACCTATCAAGCTCTCGGGTGCCAACTCCTACACAGCGGGTGAGAGCTGCGAGTCCAAGCACGCCTCGCGCGGTCACCCCAGCAAGCAAGGTGGCCTCGAGAGATCATGATCGTCAGCCGTCGATCGCTTCTGTTCTCTCCGACATATCCGCGTACGGCGCCCAAACTGCCCGACAAGAGCAGCAAAGCAAGCTGCAGCCTGTGCCTTCAGCCTTGAAACGCTCACGACCAATCATTCCGAAGGACGACTTCGGTCTGTCCCACATGATGGCCATCATCGAACTCGACACTATGTTACACAAGGAGCCACCTCTACCTCAGCTGGATGGTACTGAGGCCATGCTGTTCGGACGTTCGCTGCAACCCGATGCACTGCATCCTGATGTTCGAGAGATATACTCGCCGGCATTCCGACAGTTGGAAGAAATGGACCATGTTCGTCTCTCTCATGTCGCTCTTGAAATATGACTGATGTCTGGTTACCAGGCCCTGAATGAACTTCTTTCAACGGCGTGTTCTCCTGCTTAATCGACAGCTCTGCGGCGTCATCGCCAGCTTCATTCAGGTTACGCGGGTTCGTATCTATACTATTTTCTATATTCCGCTATAGCTCTTCAAGAGCGGTAGTCGTAGCTCAACGATTACCCGTGTTCGGCAGCCCCTAATACCCATATATTCTTATATAACAAGCCTTGGAACATGGATTAGGTCAGGTTGATCCCAGACGTGCGTCCAAGGGCGACACCGTGGATGAACTGCGAGGACCATGTGTGTCATAGCGATTGGTTTATTTGCATGAGCATGATATAGGTGTATCATTATCTATCCAAGAATTAGTGCAACGCTCATGCCGATCAGAGCTGTCAGCAGCAATCCATTGTATGCAGCTCTGTGCGCAGAAGAGCGGCTCGACCCCAGCGAGCCAGTCATCCCTGACGAAGAGGAACCTCCTTGTCCTGACGACCCAGCCGCCCCGGACGGCATTGCCGCTCCAGATGTCATTGCCGGAGACGAAACCCCTTTCCCCAGCGCCCCGGAGTCAGAACCGCCGGCCACCATTGCTGACCGATCAAAATTGAGGAGGACAATTTCCGTGTCTTGTACATCCACGCCTGCGCGAATAGTCGAGCGCTCCATGATCTCGTCCCCGGAAACTCTTCCATCGGGCGTCTCGTATGTTTGACCGCCCCACGCCAGACCGCTCTCGTCATCTGCATGCCTGAGAAAATAGTGATCAACGACTGATCGAAGGCCTAGACGGAGGTTCATACATACCCAATCGACAAGCGCTTGATAGTCATGGTCCCATTCAAACTGGCAGATGACAGATTCAGATCGACATGAACAGTGTTGCGCGAAGAAGTGGTGCTCAGAAAGGCGCGAGAGTTGATTAGTACCGCCCGCATGATAATGCCGCCTTCGTAAAATGCGTAGCCAGCAACGTCCGCGTTGGATATATCGAGTTCGGCTACTTGAACGCGACCAGAGGAGCCCAGGGCTTCGGCGGCGATGATCATCCCATAGTATGCTGGCTGCACGTGTGGTGCAAGCGGTTGTGCGAGGGCAGAGCCATCCAGTATTGAACGATTGAGTGCGATAGGTTGTATGAGGTTGTACTTGAACCCGATGCCGTTATGGAAGAAGAGCCGTTCAATGCCGATCTGGCTGGCATGGAGAGCATAGTCCAGCAGCCAAAGAGTGGCGCCAGCAACGTTTGAAACGCCCGGAGCCCCGTGGCAGGCGTAGGAATTCGTCTCGCCTGTTTTAGCATGAGTAACGGCTTTCATGAGAAGCATTCACACGGTACCCAGGATGTAAATGAGTCCTTTCGCATGCACCGCAGCAATGTCGGGTTTGAAAACGGTCAAATTTGATCGGATCGTGGCCTTGTTCATCAGTGCTGAGAGGAGCCCTCCACTTCCCGCGCAGAAAGAACCACTGTAATGCTAGAAGAGGATGAGTATCGACGAGATCCCAAAAGCTTCCGTGCTACCGACATGTTGCGAAACTGTCTGGACGATTTTTCCTGGCGCCGACTTCAGAAGCCCGTGAGAGAAGATAGCTTGTGGAGAAAACGTGGTATCCTTGTGGGAAGATTGCGCCAACGCTCCCGCGACAAACTTGGGGCCGCTGCCCGTTGGAGATAATCTAAGAGCATTTGCCACGGCACCTGCGACGCTTGCCCACCTTAGCAGGAAAACGCAAGTTCAGCTGATGCCAAGAGCACCTGTGGCAGAAACTCACTGCTGCGTGTATTGGGCGACGTTGAACGACTTGGGCCTGAGCCCGTTCGTGGTGTACAGGTCAGCTTCGTTGCCGACTTCAATGTATTGAAGCTCGACATCCGCGCCTGACGCTGGGAGAGAAGCAAACGCGGCTTCAATCGCTGATGCCTCAGTAACGGCATTGGCGGGATTGTTCTGTGTAAGGAGAGTGGGTGCTCAGCAACTCGTGTCGTTATTTGCAAAGCCTGGTGCATACCGCGCCCAAATTCACGCCGACGATCATATTTGTTCCTGCCAAACCGGTCAGACGCATAGCAAGCGAGATTGTGCCCAATGGACTACCTGATGGCAACTGTGCGACAGCTTTATAGAAGTCGTTGCCGACAGTAATCTGCGTGGCTTGGAAGGTGTCAGAGGATATGCACCCTTTCAAACGTTCACCACCACCTTCTGGATAGGGTTCAACGAGTGAAGGAGGGGGGAAAATAGCTTCCGAAAACTATCAGAAATACTGCTGAGTATATGAGTCCGCCATATAACATGGGCAGCATACCTGAGTCGCTTCGTTGAAGACGGTGTGATCTTCGCTATTGGCGCCAAGACGTATCCATGGAGGTTGCCCTGCAAGTTGGGCCACGTTGTCAAGGGTGTTGAAGAAGAAATCGTTTCTTGACGGAAATCCGATCCAGTCCCTCCACCTGTCTTGCTCGATCGACAGTGAAATGAGAGAACGAGAGACATTGGCGGCGCCATGGGGGACGGACGCAGGTACAGTTACTTTGACAGTCGTTGAACCTGCGGCACGGGAGGCCAAGAGAGCGACGACGAGGGGCAGGTTGATGACGCCGGCCGCGCAGAACAGCATGTTGCCTGCAAATTATCCAGTCTCCCATGAGCTAGAACTTAATAACTCGTGTCGCAGGCTCAAAGCAGTACATTCGGATTGGCAGAATTAGGCAGAGACGAGCACGGTAGGGCGGAGAGAAGTGTCGCTTAGCGTTACTGCAGCCAAAGGTGTTTTTCTTCGGTGGGAGAAAGGTCCTCGGAGCGATGCTCTGTTTTGGGAGTTCATTGCCAAAAGCCCCGAGGTTTCAGTGAGTTCCATTATATCATAACGACGTCGACCTCGAAGGACGCGACTGCAACCTGACGCTGTGTGACTGCACGCATAAGGACTGTGGTGGGATCCCGAACAGTGAGAAAACTCCGCCCTCGAGGACAACCCGAGGCTGGGAACGCGATCGACGAGGCCTGCGACAAACCGCCCAGCTTAGTCATCAGTTCGGTCTTCTTCTGCTCGCGATAGTACTCTGCATACTACGCTATCTGCACAACTCTCTATATGGCGGCGCTGCCAGAGATACAGAAAGCGATCCGATGGCATCCCCCCTCATACGATATACGGGTGGAAGATATTCCCATTCCAAGGCAAGCACCCTAATGGCACATGTCGACGCCCAGTTACTCATAGCACACCCCCTTCCAGCCTTGAACAGCCTGATGATGCGATCATCAAGATCAAGGTAGTGTCCGTAGCGCCGATGAGGCATGGTCTCTGCAAGGCGGTAAACATGCTTACTGGATGAAACAGTAGATGCGCCAACCGTGGCCCGATCCCGATTGATGCTTGACTACGATTCAATTCAGCTTGCTGGACTATGCGGAAGCGACCTGCATATCTATCGTGGTCACGAAGATGTTCACGAGGAGTAGGCTCCCATCTGTTTATGGCGAACTGGTGCTCACCATGCGTGCTTGAACAAGACTTGTCTGTGGGCATGAGTTTATCGGAACAGTAGTTGCGCTCGGCAGCAATTTCTCTCCTTCTCACGCGAAAGGGAGACCGCAACTATATTCAACGCTAAAAATAGGGGACGAAGTGATAAGTCCTTTCACAGTGTCGTGTGGGGAATGTCAGTAAGTCAGCAACGGATTCGCCACGAAAGATTGTATGATCTCGACCTCATTGGGCCAATATTTTACAGCTTTTGCCGCGTGGGCTTTACGTGCAGATGCATACACTCAAAGTTGTTCGGAATTCATGATCTGCCGGGAGGTCAAGCGCAATATGTTCGCGTGCCCAAAGCCGGTGGGACACTCTTTCGCATCCCCGGTGGTCGCACCGGCGTCCACGACGCCTCGTATCTCCTACTCGGTGATATTTTACCGACGGGGCTTTTTGCGGTAATGCAGCTGTTGCAGAACCAGAAGATTGCGCCGATGCTGCAAGGAAAATCGTGGCCGTTGAACGCTTGGCCTTTCCACCCTAGCAATACCAAAGAAGCATACGGGGCCGAGCTTCTTTCCTCTCTTCCTCTCCTAGAGAAAGATCGGTCGCTCACGATCGCCGTCGTGGGCCTCGGACCCGTCGGAATCGTACGTGCCGGCGAAGCTCCCGATGGAGCATTCACTGACGCAGCAACTGACCTTCTCAGTGTGCATTTGTCAGCCTTCTGGATGCTATCTCGGAGACATCGCGCCCTTGCCCCGTTCGGCTGGTTGCCGTCGATCCTCTGCATAGTAGGAGGGAAAAAGTGCAAAAAATACACGATGCCATGGATGTCAAGTATAGGCTGGGACAAAATGACCTAGTCATCGCGTCTATTGAAGATGCACCCGGGGTAGTGGAGAAATGGACGGATGGCGTAGGCTGTAATGGAATCCTAGAGGTTTGCCCAAATCTCACGGTCACACGAGCCTGCTAAACCCTGTTCGCAGGTCGTTGGGAATAACAGTGCTCTGAGTCTCGCTTACGATCTCGTTCGACCTTTCGGAATCATATCTTCGGTCGGCGTGCATCAAGGCCCGCCATTACCGTTCACCGGTCGCCAAGTGTATGATAAAAACGTGCGATTTATCTTGTCCTTACTGCATGAGTCACAGGCGGACTTAATGATCATATTCGACAGGTCTCCTTTGATTTTGGGCGGTGCCCGGTACGTGCGCTCTTCCCACTCGCGTCCGAAGTGCTCTCCAGACACCTTGGCATTTTCGGGAGCGTCGGTCAAGGTCAAAGCCTCGTTGAGCGTATCGTTGGTTTTGATGAGGCTGCACGCTGGTATGAGGAGTTCGATAAGGGACGGTGCGGCAAGGTAGTCTTTGATCCTTGGAAATGAATGGCCGCGGAGATTACACGAGTACGGAGAGAACCGACTATAGTGCGTTTAATATCCTTTGCTGCTGCACTGGATCGCTCAGTCTTGTCAGTAATATGCCTTTGTCTCTTTGTATTCCATTCAAACGGACAGTGCGACTTCTGAAACGCGTTTGAGACATGGAGCGACGGGTCTCGCCACGTTGTCTCAGGTCATATGAGACATGGTAGTAGAGCCTCGGCAGGTCCACGACGGAATCGCATGGCCATCAGCACCGTGCATGGACGTTATTGTGAACGCAGTGAATGGTTCTACCTGCCCTGGGCACTCGAGGCAGCCTGTACATGATACTGGTCGTAGCCTCCAGGAGCTCGCAGCTCGTGCTACTCGTCTCACCCTCCCCAGTTCTCGACTCTCAACTGGCCGCGTTCTTGACTCTCAACTACCCGGAGCACTTTGGGGTTGGCAGAATGCATACTTATAGGGCCTGCTGGGGTCGCACATGGTTCCCAACGGTCGGGTCTCTTTGGATCCTTAACGAAGGCTTGTTGGTTCCTCTTCTCGTTATTGCGGCACTCTCTGCGCGCTCCCTCGAGTTGCGCCACATTCGAACTGGAACACTCCGTTGCCAGTCTGGCCTTATTTCGGCAATCTGCCGTTGGGCAGGCCATCTCAGGCAAAGCATAGGATGGGATAGGTGGCACTCCGGATCCGTTGATGGTACACAAAGACACGTTTCCAAGGAGGAGGAGGAGAAATACTGGCGCGAGTCGGAACCGTATCGGCTGTATCTTGCAAAGTGCAGTGCGCGACATTGTGAAACGGTGCCGATAGTATCTTCCTACGAGGCGCGACTACCTCCAATCACCCACACACGGCGAGGACATAAACAGAAATCGTCCCTTTCATGCGTGAACGTCATTTCGGCGAAGACCTTCTGCAAATGGCACCGCCTCGTCTTCCCTGACCAGGTGCGTTCACCTTGCGTGCGCCGCCACGAACCGGAAAGGGGGAATGTGGCAACTAATATGCAGCACATATAGACCCATCCAAGCCTCCGCCAGGCGGAAAAGCTTATACCCACCTTTAGTGCCGCCGATCAACGAGAAATGCGCCGTATTTCACGCATGATGCCTGATGAACAACTGCTGAGAATTCAACCCGACGGGGTCTCCCCCAGGTACCGCAAGAGGTGGAATCGATGGTTGGCGAGGACAGAACACGAGGTCGTCGTAATATTCCGATGAAGCCATTGCCTCTTCCTCGTCGGCGTCATATCTGACCCTTCCGCATCAAGTTACGCCTCACCCTTCTCTTCTCACCTCCTGCACCCTCGGACGGGCCCCACCGCAGATACGGTACGTTGTCCTTATCCATGCCCGCCACTTCTCCACCAGAGGACCGGAAGTCCAGCATCCCCCATACAGGGAGCTCTTGTTCGCCCTTGACTAACACGCGACATGACGCAAGTAAGGAGGGTGGAAGCGGCGTGAGGATCTGCAATGGTTTTTCGTCCGTATGCTCCGACGATAGTTGAACAGAGCGGATGAGTGCCAAGCCCAGGCAACTGGACAAGTTGGGCGAGGGAGGGGGCGCTGCCTGGACGTAGGGTATGCCGCCGGTATGAACTCTTGAATCGGATGTCGAGTCTTCAGCTCCAGGTTCGCAGCTGACAAGGGCAACGAGGGCGCCGTTCAACACCCGAACGATTTCAGTCGGAACCACGTCTTCAAACCCCGCGCCCGCTAAAACAACTTTGTCCAGCGCGATGGAAGGAAGTACCTCGTATGGTGGCAAGGCACATAAGGGCAAGGAGGAATTCCATGAGGAGACCATCAAGAAGGCACCCGAAGAGTTAGTTGAGGCGGAAAAGATGCCGTAGAAATAGGATAACAAGGACAATGTTCGTGCGTCGGCGGGGCGGTAGTTCGTAAAGGCTGGACTCAATGGAGAGATGGCTGGCTCGAGTATATATCGGCGGTTGCGACCCTCTTGCAGGAAGCCTATCGTGCTACTGTAACCGTACGGGTCGGGCAAGACTTGGATGTTCGATATATCGTCGGGGTATGAGGGAGATCGAAATTCGAAGATGCACGTAGGGTCGAGCATCTCTTCAATGCGCGCATTGAGGTCCGCACCCATCCCCTTCGACCAGCCCATCGTGTTCACGACCAAAGGTATCGCGTCTTCGATCAGCTGGTCTCCATCATCGCCGTTGGCAGGACCTTGGACGACATCCCCATCAAGAAGGAACGTCGCATGTTGCACTTCGAGCCTATAGCTTTGTATCAACGCTTGGATGGCATCGAGGTATAGTGAGGGCAATGATCGAGCGGTAGACGAGCCGATGTAGTGAGCACGGAACGGCACCGTGAGGTGTGTGAAGGCGGGACCTGGCCACAGTAAACAGTGATCATACGGAGTGAGCGTCACTTTCGGACTAAAGGGGGCACTCAGAACCGCACCGAAGACAGGTTGTTCGATGATGGCCAGTGAGACCATGCCTGGCGGTGTAAACTCAGACTGACCGAGATCACATTCGAGGAAAGCGGCACGTCGGTAGCTGAGTTGGATGAGGGAATAGCAGTGTGAACAGATATCTACGAACGCAAAGTGTAACGACTCACTGCCCGAGCAGAGTGTTGAGCAACGTTCGGGAAAAGTTACTCTTGCCCACTTTCTTAGGCCCTCGTATCAAATAAACAGGAGTCCGTACTGCATCCATGACCTGTACTGAATCGTGCCGCGCTTGATGTGGGAGTGCGTCTTGCAATGCCACATTCCATGAAGGAAGGATGCGCAGAGGATGCAAATCGCGAGCAGCATTGGTTATCTGGAGAGTAATTGTTAGTGGCATTGGATGAATGCGGAAGGAAAACGGACCATGTGGATCCCAGTGAGACCTATATCGTCTGTGGATTCATCTTGCGATGTCCGGAAAGCACCAGAGAACAAGCGGCAAACTTTGGATAGATTCTCTACGCCTGTCCGAAGCTCCTGGATGACGACCGCGATCCTGTTGCCAACGATGGCCTTGATCCTCCTTGGCAGGCACATATCCAAACCCTCAACTGCAAGTACCGTGTCCATCTTCAGAGCGCGAATGGGCGATATAGGGGAGAGACGAGAGGCGAAGACGCGATGCGAGGTTAGAGAAGGTCGTAGAGTCACATTTTGGAGGGAAACGGCCCCTCGTAGTATGGTCAAGGCGTAGGTGCCGATGAGAGATAGGGTCTCATCCGGGACTAGTAGAACGAAAGTTGCAGGGGAGGGCGAGGCGATACCTAAGGCTGAGACTTCCTGAGGAGTGAGATGGAATATGTTCTGGTCGCGAATCGGCCTGAGCGTTGATACAGGAGGGATGTCATAGCACGCAATGGCAGAGTGAATGGGAGTATCTTGTATCTCTTCGTCGTCCGATGAATCAAGGAGTGCTCTGCTGGGTGACCATGCCCTCTTCCCATCCAGAAAGCGTGTCGTGGCAGAGGGAACGACCTTAACGACAGAGCTTTCCTCTGCCGCTTCCATCTCGAGGTCGCTTCCGATGAACGACTGGTCTGAGTCGTCCTCATGAATACTGGACGCAAAGGAAACTATATCGGGATTGTTGTAAAGAGGGGTTACACCCTCTGTCGCTTGCGTAGTAGGCACAAGTGCCTTCCTCCTCCGCTTCTTCCTCGTCGGCTGGGGCGTACTGCTCGGGGTAGAAGCTTGCTCTGACTTGCCGGCTTTACCAGAGGCCTTCCGTTTCTTTGGCGGCTTCATTGGCGTTGTATTGGCTTTGTTGATGTTTCCATCTGGGGCAGGGGATGGTATAGTAGCTTCATTGGCTTTAGCAAATGCAGCCTTGCGAGCGGCGACGGCGGAGAGCATCAGAAGAAACCTCCTTTGCAGAAATTTTGCACCGCATTTTGCTCTTGCTCAATCTCATCATGGCATCTACATCCAGCGCTACATCTACGACAACAAGTAGCGCAGCACCGTCCCGATCTGTGCTGTTTGCTCGGGGAACTATCGCCCGTCTGGCTGTGTGGCCCGCACTGCGCGTAGCCGTCGAGCAGGGCTGGGGTGGACCCGCATCTGCTGAGAAGCGCACCTGGCTCGCATCCGTGCTCGTCGACGCTTTCGAGGAGACTCATCCCACTCCCGATGCGGAGTATGTCACGGAGATGCTGCTACAGATAATGGAGGACGAATTCGACTGCAACTTAGAAGATGATAGCGTGGAGGGCGTCGCGCGCGATGTGGTGAAAATGTGGGAGGATGCAGAGGCGGGGAGAGAAGAGCACATAAAAGCGTTGGAGCAGCAGGCAGAGAAACTGAGGGGAAGGAAGATCGACGTAAAGGTAGAAGATGCGATTGCGGAAGGGAGCGATTGGGAGGATGACGAGGAAAGCGGCGATGAAGACGTCGAGATGGAGGATAGTGATCAAGCGCCAACCTTGGTGCCTGCGAGAGAAGCACCGACGAAAGAAGAACCTGAGGTGGATGAAGATGGCTTTACCCTCGTCAAAAGCAAGGGTAAAGGGCGACGATGAACGTACGGGAACTATTTTGCAATCATCCGTTGTCAATGTACTGATGTTGTGTTTGGCAGCAACGCCCTCTATGGTAGTGGACTCGATCGAAAAATAGCTAGGCTGTCGCTGCCGATCTAACCTCGGCCTGACATTACTATATGCCGTACGCTGATATTGGCTCTATCGATTTGCTCGTTTATGTTCATCGTCAATTTATAGAACGAGATGGTGAAATCGCCGCATGGCACACAATCACTTGACGCCTATGCATGGCTTTGTGTCGCGCCATTGACGCGCTAGTCTACGCAAGGCCCGATGATACTGCATCCATTGACGTTCAAAGTGCTATATTGCGGCGGACTTGAACGCCGTTATATGTATAATCCATCTTAGCACAGAAACATGATGCTTATAGCTCGGTCTTGGATAGCATCGGAGCGAGTCCGCCCATGCATTGTCGCGAATTACCCGATGAATGCTAGTAGTTTATATAGGCGATCGATACAGTACACAAAACCCTCAATCGCTATCGCTACTGCTGGAATCATCGTCGCTCTCTTCATCGTCGTCCGTTCCACTCTCATCGTCGCTCTCCTCCTCCGTGCGCTTCTTCACCGCGCCTCCTCGTAATGCCGCCATCTGGCCCGCAAGCGTGTCCTCATCGGGATCCGATATTTCATCCTCCGCGCCCTGCTCCTCCGCGGACAACACAGACAGGTCGTCGATCTTCAGCTAAAGATATGAGGGGCGGAAGCAACGTTCAGCAATCCAGGAATGGATCCGGGAAGACTACGACGAATGCGACGTACCGTAATGTCCCGTTGCACCTCCTCGCCCACGAATGTGTCGCTGACAAAGTACACTTTCCATGTGTAAAGGCCGACGTTTGGTGGCGCCTGGAACTGCAGTTTGTACGACCGGTAATCGCGATCCGCGCCAGGCTTGGCAAGAGGCACGTCGGTGATGCGCATTGGTGGGACGACTACCTTGTTCATCTTGTCGTCTGCCAGGACGAGCCACCACGAGGGCTTGCGATTCTAGTATCAAAGGTGATGTGAGCTGGTGAACAATAGGTGACATGCTGGGAATAAGCGCGTACCGCAGGCCAATAGGGAGCGTGCGCCCAGCCGACGGTGTCCTCTTGTCCTTCGGGTAGCGGCTCCGCGTCGCGTTTGCCGGTCAGGAACTCGTAGTCCTTCTCGTCGTTCAGCTTCACGCGCCGCTTCACGTCCTCTACGTCCTCCTCTTCCTTCTTAACGGCAGTTGATGCGGCAGCAAGGCCAGGGGGCGTTATCCGCAATTTGACAACGAGGAAGACGATTGCTTGCGGGGTAACGAGGCGCTCGCCGATCACTATTGGTACGGCACGGAAGTTAGCAAAAGGTGTGAGCTGGGTAAGAGGAACACGATACCTTTGAATGCGATGTCTACAACGTCCAACTTGCCCCACTTTTCCACTGCCTTCTTCGCTTCTGCCGCTCGCGCATCACCCTTAGCCTCGAGCGCGGTCACGAAGTCTTCGAGTCCGTCGGCAGTGGGTGCTAGAGCCTTGGCTTCATTCTCTTCGATCTTGGGCAGTTGCGCAAACTTCAGCGTCTTCGGCGTGACAACAGACGAAGGAGTGGGGGGAAGCGCTTGAGCGAGGTATGCGTGCAAGCGCATCACGTTGAGGGTCGGGAGGAGCCAATTGCGGGCGATAGATATGGTCAGGAGCGCGTTGAGGAGGAGCGGTGTGCGGAGGAGGACATCGGCTTGGGCTGCATCGATAACTAGTCAGCAAATATTGAATGAGGCGGCGAATTACATCTCCCCGTACCTGCTACAAGAGATGAATCCTGAACCGGCAGCCGCAAGGCGTGCGCGTAGAGCAACACTAGCGCCCGTCTCCGCGCGTCCAACACATTGTCTCCCACCTCTGTCAGCTTCCGCACCTCCAGCCACTTGGCCCCGAGCTTCTCCTCGATCTGCTTCTCAAGTTGCTTCAACTCCTTGTTCGCGTTCTTCTTGCCCGTCGCGGCCTTGGTCGGCTCGTATGAGAACGCTTTGCCGAGGGCGCTCACAACGTCCTCCATGCCGCTCTCCTCCTTCAGACTCTTGAAGAAGGCCGCAGCCGTCCGCGCGTTCACGCCATCCTTCGTCTTCTGCCTGTTCCCGAACCACCACCGCCCGACGAGCATCGGGAGGGCGCCACCGAACACGATGCCGTATAGGCCGAGCACCCAGATGTTGTTCTTGCCCTCGATGACCCATACCGGGAGCGCGATGCCCATAGAGAGCTCCTGCCGGCCGTCGGGGTTGCCGTACTGCTCCCAGTTTTTGCGGATCGTTTCGTCAGTAAGCGACTTGTAAGCCTTCGTGATCTCGACGAAGCGGGCCTCGACCATCTCGATCGTCTCGTTCACGGCGAGCTTCACCTTGTCAGGGTGGCTGATTGGGCCAAACGGCGTGAGCGAGATACAGTGATGTCAACGTGTATGGACGCACAATTGCTTGGAGAGTTTCTTGTACCGCGACTTGATCTCCTTTTCTGTGGATCCCTGACCGCAATATATGAGCACTCAAATGTTGCAACAAGGGAACAACCATAGACTCACCGTGCTGATGCCGAGAATTTCGAATGGGTCATACAGCTTGTTGTCAAGCTTGGTGTTTGCCACCTTCCATGCGAGAAGGCCGAACACGGTCCAGCCGAGTAGTAAGAAGATGGCCCTATTGACCGGCGATCAGCATGCTTCCTTGATAGTATACTGGTCTAGCTGACTTGGCGCTGAGATTTGGCAGGAATGACGATCCCTTTTCGCGCTTGCGCACGCGCTCTCGTTGCTCGAGACATGGCTGGCACTGGCAGCCGGTGACGACTCGTTGTTTATCTAAATATAATTATAGATCGGTGCCGGTTTGGTACAAGGCATGGCGTTGCTACGTACTGGATGAGGGCGATATCGATGAAATGGTAAACGGCACGAGTATGATCGCCAGAAATGTGAGGATGAAGTAGAGGGCCATGCTGCCCGATTCATCGTAGTTGTAGGTCGCCATCGTGGCGCAGTTTCACAAGTTCCGATTCCCCCAGAGAGATTAACGAAAGGTGGGGGAGAAGCAAGTGAACCCACGGACGGGGACGAAGACAAAGACGAGGATGTGCGCTGGCAGACGGCTGACCCAGAAACAGGACGGTGTCGTGGCGTAACACCTAACCCTATATCAGGGTCCGTGCTATTGGCGTTTTGCTCCCGACCATCTTCCTCGCGCTCTCGCAGGTTCACGGATGCCCTTACCTTCGCGTCTACGGGTCAGTTCGGAGATTCCTAATGTCTCGCTCAGAATATGGCTCCCAGTACCCAAGGAATGTGAAGATGTTGCGGACCTCAAGACCGTTTTGTACGAACGGGTCCAGGAGTTAAAAGCCGGAGGATTGACCATGGACGCCTTCGAACTCGTGCTTGACGAGTTCAAGCTCTTGGAGGACAGTCCTCTTGACATACTTAGGGACGGCGACCTAATATGGTGAGCGCGCTCACGCATGACGGATCAACCGCCTGTTCTGACGCATACTTACCACAGTCTACGATCGAAGACGCGTTCGCTCAAGCGGAAGGCGAACGAACAGGGTGAATCCTCCTTCAGTCAGAAATGAGATACCCATTGCTCAAACCACCTCTTTCAGATACAGAACCTGTGCGCAAGAGACCGAAGACGGCTACCGCTCACAACGCGCCTCCCGTCACGAAACTTGCGAGCACGCCCGCCCTCAAACGCGTTCACCAAAGCAGCTCTTCCTCTTCGTCAGAGTCCGATTCGAGCTCTGACCCATCGCCCGACTCGGACGGCAAGGACTCCGATTCTGACGATTCCGACTCTGATTCTGAGCCCGAGAGCGACAGCAGCTCGAGCTCGGCAAGCTCGTCTTCGTCTGCACCGACCGTCTCCCCCTCCAAGCCCAAGCAGGCTCCAAAAACACGACCAACGCATTCCGTCACAGCTACAATCAAACCACAGTACGTGCGGCCTCTCGTTTCCTATGTGACACTCCACCGACGGACGTGAGCAGTCATACAACTCCTAACCCCCTGGTCCAACCTCCCGCCCTGCGCCGACTACAATACAGCGTCCCGCCCGGCCAAGGCAGTACCGCGACGCAGAACCGGAACGCGCGTAGGCGCAAAAAGCGGCAGTACGACCGCGAAGCGCAGCGTGCCTCCTCCTCTATGGCCCCCTTGCCGAGCCTGGCGTCCACCGCTCTACCTCTCAGCGCAAGCAGCACTCCCGCTCCACTACCTACTGAACCCGTCGCGGGCCCGTCTTCGGCGCCGCAGCGAGCACCCGTGAAACCTCTCACCGGCGCGGGGCCGTTCATGATGTCGTCTCTGAGCAACAAAAACAAGAGGAAGGGGTTCAAGCAAGCGGCGATTTCTGCGCCCGCCAAAATCGTGTTTGGGGCCACGTCCGAAGGGCGCAGCGATGGTGTGGAAGGGAAGAACGCATCCACGTCTGCGTCCGCGAGCGCGCCTGCACAGAGCTCTGCGGCTGCGTCGTCGAACGCGCAGACCCATGCTTTGCCGCGACTTGTCCCGCCGTCTGAACTCCAAGCGATGGGACAGGTGCCGCCTAACGTGTTTGTGACGAGCGTCGACGTCGAGGCGGACGTGAACCACGGCAAGAGGGGCAAGGGCAAGAAGAAGGCACGGGACCGGCTAGTGCAGCCTCACTGGCGAGAAGAACAGCATGAGGAGGAAGAGGAACGGGACGTGCAGGCGATCACGCTGGACTACGGCGTTGAGGAAGGGGAAGAGGGAGGTGGCGCTGGAGACATCGACTGGAGCCGCGTGGAGTCTGGCTGGGAGACGTTTGCGCAGGCGCTGGACCAGAAGTTGCTGGCCGTCGGACAGCTCGTCGGGTGGATGGCGCTCGCGCTCGACCCGCGGACGTTCACGCCCGAGAACTTGGTACATCTGGGCCGCGTCGTGTCCAACGAGGAGGCTACGGGTGAGGTAGTGGTGAGACAGGTCTTGAGGCCGGAGGAAGTGGAGGAGGGGGCAGATGCGGAGGGCGAGGAACTATGGGTGGAGTGGAGGAAGTGTATCGAGGAGGGCTGGAGGATTGTGACGCTGTAATTTGCAGTCAATGCTTCCTAGTAGCTGCGCGGGTCTCTCCGGCTCCCTTGCGTCATATTATAATGCTCCAAATACCGGACGAGCGTTCGGTGAATATATTCGCGACCTATCTACTGAACGTATTCGAGCGTGGGAGTATACCGCGACCTTCCGGATTAGGAAGGAGGCACTCGAGGCGGCAGGTAAACACGGAACGCACGACCAAGGCAACACGTTTCGTGCGTACAAACGTCTCTTCCTTCCCGTACATCGACCTCGACCTGCCTCCCGGACGACGGGGTGCCGCAACTATCCTGGTTTTCCGGCGATTTCCCCTGGATTTTGGACGTTTTCGCAGACTTCGAGATGGGTGGAATCCAACGAATTGCGTGCACGGATGGCAGGGTCTGGGTCGACGGGATGAGGAGCTGGTGGAGGAGATGGTGATGTGAAGGTGGAGGTTGCTTGCGGTCGTTGCGGGCGCTATACCCGCCTCAACGCCTATGCGTTCTACCATCCACCTTCGACGCTTCGTAACAGCAACGAACAGCCGATCGAAACCGCGTCGTACATTTCGACTGAAGCCGCGCCGGGACTTGCCACTGCCCGGGCAAAGCGCGGGGGCGAGGAGGAGAACATCGGGGTCGGCGTGACACCGTCACGCTCGGTCACGCGCTTGCGCTTGTCCTTCCACCACGACCAACACCGCCGCGGCCACCGCCTGCCTTAGCGCCCGGCCACCGAACATCTAGGACAAAGACGAAAAACACAGACGACGGGGCGTAACGGCCCTGCGATGCAAGACGACGGGAACCAGTGGACATTCCTGCCTCTCCAGCCCCTCTCGCCTCGCCACACCGTCGCGCCGCCGACGCTGCAAGACGTCCTTCTCAGCACCGACCAAGCTCCCCAACCGATCCCCGAGCCCGCATACACTCACCCAGCCCCGGCGCCGAACCACGTCACGCCCAATCGGCTCACCATCCGCCTCCCGCCGCCCCACACTTCACCCGCTCACCATCCAACACATCTCGAGACCGTTCCAGACATGCCTGAGACGCGACGCGCGGCACGCCACCGCCAAAGCGTAGGCGAGCAGAGCCAGAGCGGACCATCGGGGTCCGAGTACAATGGCTCCAACTCGTCCCATCACATGGACGAAGACGACATCCCGCACAAACAAGAAGACGAGGAACAGCCGCCGGTGATGAGCCGAACGCGCAGTGGGCGGCCCGTCACCAAGAAGAACTACCAGGAGAGCGACACCGACGACATGTTCGAAGAGGAGCTCGAGGCGGGCATGCAACCGCGGCGTCCCGCGACGAAGAAAGGCGGGGCCGCGAAATCGAGAGGAGGAGTGAGATTGATACAGAGCGACGATGAGGGTAGCGGTACGCCGAAGGTATCGGCAGAGGCGGAGGCAGAGGCGGATGGACCGCGATACTCGCTGCGTGCGCGAGGCGGGGACGGCGGACGGGCGGGCAGTCGCTCGAGCGGCGGGAGCGACAAGACGGCGGGCGGGCGCGCTACGCGCTCGTCGGGCAGGCTAACGCGGACCCGGCCAGCGCCAGCCCCCGCGCCCGCCGCTACGTCGATGCGGCGCACGCGGTCGAGCGCGCGCCGCTTGCAGGAGGACGACGGCTACGTCGACCGACCGAGCAGCGACGCGGACGAGGACGCGGACGCGTCGTTCGAGAACGCGCCGCCGACGGACCCGTCCGAGCCGCACGACGACGACGATGCGTACGGCGAGGAGGACGCGGACGGGGACGTCATCGTCGGTGGAGGCGATGACGAGGTTGGCGGTGATGACGAGGGCGTCGATGCTGGAGGCCGTCCTTACCGCCTCCGCAAGAAGCAAAAGGTCAACTACGCGATTCCACCCCCGCTCGAGGAGCTGAAGGCGCCGCCGCCTCCGAAACGGCCGGCGAAGCGTGGCGGAGGGAGGAAGGGTCCGGGATGGAGCGCGACGGGGGCGGAGCTCGATCGATGGATGCGAGGTTTCGTGCCCGCCGGCGACGACTCGGTGCGTATATGCAATCTCCGACGTTCTCCTGTCTCTCCGGGACTGACGACGTACCGCGGTAACAGGACTCGGATTATGCGCGTACACCCCGAAAACCGTTCGGCCTCGGCGTTGCAGGCGCAGGTTCGGGTGCGGTCTTTGCAGGGGGAGCGGGCGCTGCTGCGGGCGGAGGCGGGCTGTTTGCAGGAGATCTGGCGGCTGCCGCCGGCACGCCGAGCAACCTGGGCAAATTGGGCGACGCCGCCCTCGCCGATGCGGATCCTCTCGGAGTGAATCAGAACGTCACGTTCGACGAGGTTGGCGGTCTGGACGATCGTGCGTCCTTCATCCCCCGAACCTATGCGGTCGGAACTGATGCTGCCTCCAGACATCAACTCGTTGAAGGAGATGACCCTATTACCGCTCCTGTACCCCGAGGTATTCCAACGTTTCGGCTTAACGCCGCCGAGGGGCGTGCTGTTCCATGGTCCACCGGGGACGGGCAAGACCCTTCTAGCGCGTGCACTCGCCGCCAGCTGTCGCTCAAACGGCAAGGGCATCTGTACGTGTCCATCCTTCCATATCTCTCCCTTCAAACTCTGATACATTTTCGCTCTTAGCATTCTTCATGCGTAAAGGCGCCGACTGTCTTTCCAAATGGGTTGGCGAGGCCGAACGCCAGCTACGCCTCCTCTTCGAAGAAGCGAAGAACTCGCAGCCGTCGATCATCTTCTTCGATGAGATCGACGGCCTCGCGCCCGTCCGATCCTCGAAACAGGATCAGGTCCATGCGTCGATCGTCTCCACTCTCCTTGCACTTATGGATGGCATGGACGGCCGCGGCCAGGTCGTCGTCATTGGCGCCACTAACCGTCCAGACGCCGTCGACCCCGCCTTGCGCCGCCCGGGTCGCTTCGACCGCGAGTTCTACTTCCCGCTGCCGAGCTTGCCCGCGCGCGAGCGGATATTGAGGATCATGACGAAGAAGTGGGAAGGGTGGGAGGGCGAGGAGGGCGAGGAGCGGGTGAGGGGGCTTGCCCGGCTGACGAAGGGATATGGGGGTGCGGACTTGAGGGCGCTGTGTACGGAGGCGGCGTTGAACTCGGTGCAGAGGCGGTATCCACAGATATACAAGTCGACGGATAGGCTACTGCTCAAACCGGAGACGATCGGGGTCGAGCTGAGGGACTTCATGATCGCCGTGAAGAGTATGTGTTTATCGTGGCGCCGGTTTCCTGCGACAAGATTGCTGACAAGATGTTCTTAGAGCTCGTGCCGTCGTCTGCGAGATCTGCATCCACAGCTGCGGCGCCGCTACCAACACAGCTCGTGCCATTGTTGGAAGATGCCCTCGAACGTGCTAAGGGCGTGGTGGACAAAGTGATGCCAGTCAGTAAGAAGCGGACTGCGCTCGAGGAGGCGGAGTGGGAGGACGAGAGCCAGGAGGGCGCGTTGGAGCGCGAGCTCATGCTGCAATGTACGTTCGCCTTGTGCTTGACCGTGAAGCCCACGGCTGATTACTGAGGGATGCCTAGCGATGGAGACGCTGCGAGTGTACCGGCCGAGGGTGGTACTACATGGCGCTCCGGGCATGGGACAGAGCTTTGTCGGCGCTGCTGTTCTTCATCACCTCGAGGGATATCACGTTCAGAGCCTTGATCTCGGGAACCTCATGGGCGACTCGACGCGGGTACGTCGTATGGTCGTCGTTATAACCATCGGTTGATCATCTCGCTTCTTATAGACGACGGAAGCTGCTATCGTCCAATTGTTCCTGGAGGCAAAGCGGAATCAGCCGTCGGTCGTGTACATACCCTCCCTCGTCGGATGGTGTGCTGCAGTCACCGAGACCGCACGTTCCACGGTCCGTGCCATGCTGGACACGCTCGCGCCAACGGATCCGATCCTGCTCCTTGCGGTCGTCGACGGCTCCTTTGCGTCACTACCCCGTGATGTTCGAGCATGGTTCGGACCCACGAAGGAGAACAGGGTGCTGCTCCAAGCGCCGAGTGCCTCCCAACGGGAACGATTCTTCGAGGGGTTGATCAAGGACATCTATCGTCCCCCGAACCAGTTCCCGGATGGCATCAAGCGGAAGAAGCGAGTGCTGGAAGAGCTACCCGTCGCCCCGCCACCGGAGCCCAGGCAGCCCAGTGCAGCCGAGTTGGCCGTTCAAGAGGAGCACGACCAGAGGACGATCACGCTGCTCAAGTTCCGTCTCGGTCCTATCCTCACGGAACTGAAGCGCAAGTTCAAGCGGTTTACTAAGAGGGCAGGGGTAAGTGCGCTCAAAGTTGAACGTGTGCTCAGCCTCACACCCTTTTTGTAGGAGGAGTATGATCTCAGCATGGGCGAACCTGGCACACAAGAGGTCGTCCCGGAACCCGAGCAAGCGCTCGCTGTGCCTCAGCCTGTGAATGGAGACGTGCATGTTAACGGGTTCGCCGAAGCGTCACAGTCTCAACTGCCGATCGTGCAAATCGAGATCGACGGCGTTCTCCAGGAACAGGCTCAGGTCCAGATACGGCCCAGGTTGTTTGATATGGATTTGGAGCGCATACACCACGAACTCTACAAGAACCGCTACCTAACACCTGGCGAGTTTCTAGATGACATCGGAAAGATCGTGCACAACGCAGAGGTCATGGTCCACGAAGATCCGGAGCGACTGTACAAAGCTCAGGCCATGTACACTGCCGCTGAGGTCAGCATGCACGACTTCGACCCGCAGATGCGGCTGGAATGCGAGCGGATGGCCCAGCGAGAGCGGAAACGGAGGGACGAGTGGAAGCGAGAACGGGAGAAGGAGAAGGGCAGGGAGGCGAACGGCCTGGCACCCGCGCTCGGCACTAGGCGGAGTTCGCGACACAATGGGCAGCAACTAGAGGTTGAAATGACGGATCCGGTCCTCATCGAACGGAGGTTAAAGAGGCAGCGATCAGGCGATGGAGCTGGCGACTCTCAGGCTTCCGGCTCGGAGGGTTCTACTGGACCTTCCGCCAAGCGGTCCAGGATGGGCAGCCCAGATGACCTTGATCTGCTGGGCCCGTTGCGGGCTAACGGCGTTCGGTTTGCGGAGGACATGCAAGCCGTCGAACCGCTTCCATCACTCCAGCAATCGCTCTCGGAGGTGGCTCCGCCGCCAACGATACCCACACATTCTCAACAAAATGATGATCCGTTCGCTATGCCGACGTTCATGCCCCAACCTTCCGCGTCTATATCGTCGCTACTTAACCCCACGAGCCCGGTGGAGATGGCACCTGCCGTGCATGCCTTCCCAGCACCAGGCATCATACCGTCTTCATCCACCCTTCCTGTCCATCCCATACCAGGTCAAGAGGCTGTCGAATTGCCACAGGCAGAGTCCACAGACGACAGCGCCGCTACCACCGAGCCCGAGCCCGAGCCCTCTCAGGCGCCCATGGAGGTCGAACGAGAGCCGACGCCTTTGCCAGATTTCGTGATCGACGACGCTCAGGTAGAAACGCTGAAGACGACGCTCGTTACGAAGACGGAATCACTGGCCATCGAGGAGCTGGAGCAACTGCGGGCGACCTGCCTGGGGATCATCTGGCGACATCGATCCGACTGGAATCGCGCCGGCTTGATCCAAGAACTCACGGAGACTGCATTGGAATATGTGAATGACCTCGCAGTGGATGCTGCTTCACCAATATAACCATTCTCACGTCGATGTCTATCATATTTATCGCAGCGTGTAAATACTGTAACAATGTCTGTAATTTAACAAACCTCTTGCTTGATAATACATGATGGCATCGGACGCAAATGGATCGACATGGCGCACGAACGCCTTGGGTAACTCATGAAAACAGTTACGCCGTATAAACATCGTCTAGATCACATCTCGAAGGATTCGGCATAGAACTCTACCTCCGACACGGTGCAGACCTTGTCGTTCCGTGCGACGGCGAGGTTGGTGGCAACCGCCGCAGCACGGGCATCGGACAGCATGGAGTGTGGGCCGCAAGCTTGGATGGCGTCAATTCTTTTTTCGCCCCAGGACGACTACTGAGAGAGGCTCACATGCAATACCCAAACGCCCGACCGTCTTCGAAGACACATCGCGGACCAGGTCGCCGATGTTGGGACGGCCGTACACTGGCTTGCAACGCTCGTAGAGCCCAACCTCGGATCGCTCTCCCTTGCGTTCCATATCGCTATCGCTCTCTTGGCTGACGGGACACGTGTTGCTGATGAACAGCATGACAAAGACTTCGAGGTTCTTGTTCGCATCCGACGCGTCCAACACGTCCCGAATCTCTTGCGCAAACCAAGCGAGATCATCTGCCAGGAAGATGGTCAACGTGCTGCACCGGGGTTAAGGTGGGTATGTTATCTTACCACTTTGTCGCACGACCCAGATTAGTTTGACCTCGGCGCAGAAGCTGCTGTCGTCCGCAAGAAGAGCCCGAACGAGTGGCAAGACAGCCGATGAGGAGCGCCGCGTCGCACAGTCGCACTCCCAGGAACGTCTCTCCGCCGTACGGACCGTCGATGATGACACGTCCCGTCCACGTTTGGGCAGAGCTCGTTTGCGCTCTCGCGAGCAGGCGGCCTGTCATTCCCGTGTGAGCCCGGGCGAGCACCACCAGACCCGACTCGTCATCGGGCAAGGACGCGACGGTGAAGGGATGCGTGGCCCACGACTGCAGCGAAACGAAACGGAGGTAGACGTGTTGGCCTGGCGTCCAGCGCGTGCGCGTTCGTACGCTGATCATGACGGCCCTGTTCCCTGCGACATGGACTGTAGCCGAGTCGAGACGGGTGAGCAGTCGGGTCCGGAAGAGGATAACACCATGTCGGAGGAGGAGGGCCGCTGCCCACAGAGCCAAGGTTGCCCAGCAGTATGCCCAGGAGTCCAGGGTATTCCCGCAATGAAAGAACATCCCGGCCAAGAACACTTTATCATCGCAAGCAACTGGCTCCGGGGGATGTTTGCTTGGTAGTCAAAGCTTACTGGAGGCTGCCAGCCAATGCAAGATGTAGAAGACTTCGTAGCAAGCGTTCCTGCGTAATCTCACAATAAGGCTGTGGAAGGGAGAAATGTAAACGATGCGTACTTGACGATGTCCAACGACATGAGTGTCAACCAGATGAGCGGAATCAACGCCCAAAACCCATTGCTGTATTCTGCGTTGGTCTTCATAGTATACCAAAGCGGCGCTTGCCTGTTTACTCCCTGATCAACGACAAAGTAGGAAATTCTGGACGCGAAGAGATACCTACCTATTCGCACGAATGAACATGGCGACGGTGTGCACGATGCTCATGAAGAGGCAAAACCACCCAGCCCACACGTGGAACGATCGCATAGTGTGCAGAGGTTTGTCTGATTTATAAACGGTAAGCGCGGGTGGTGGAGGCAAGCGTTGCGGGCTCACTGGTGACATAACCAACGAAGTTGACCCTAGTGCCGAAAGCGCTGTTGTGATGCCTATCTGTGAGGTCCGACAGTAAATGATTGTATCGCGGTACTGACTAGATGAAAGGCATGGTCGCTGTCGCCGCCCACTCGGAGCGCAAGCCAAGAGGGCTGCTACCGAAGTTGGGAGGACGATAGCACGGCCTAAAGCCCCATACATAGCCCATGGTAAAAGCGAAGAAAACGATCATGAGCGTCAAGGGGCCGCAAGGCGGCAGGTACCGGAATTTAGTGAGCAACACGCCCTTGAGGAGAGCCCGCGGCCGAGGTGGGATCAGTGACAGAGAGGAGCTGCGTGTGGCGTCCGGATCAGAACGATGAGACTGGCTTTGACCGCCGAGGGGGTTAGTACTTGCCTAGATGTCAACTCGATGCGTCGATGGCTGCCCGTCCAGGAGAAAAACGCGACGAAGCAGATGATGAACCATATCGTCCAGTGTCCGTACTTGACGGTCCCCGCTGGTGTTGACGAGAGGATTGTCAAACGACACCAGTACGCTCCAGGAATGCTGAGCTTACCCCAAGGATCATGATACTCCTGGCATAGTGTGAGCTCGGCCGAGGTGGGCACGTAATGTCCGAACAGCCAAGAGCCGGCGCCCTTTGTACCGTTCGGGTACGTGCCGTTGTTGTTTCCTAGCGCGCAGGCGAGAACGGAGTCTGCCCGCGAACCGGACGCACCGGAGCCCATGGACATCATCTTGCGTTGTGTGAGTGGATGGTACACGGGGCGAAAGGTGTTGTGGTGAGCGGGAGGAAGAGGGGCCGATGTTGATTCCAGCGGAAACGATTGGGCGTGATAAAGCTTTTATCCTCACGGTACTCAATTCGTCCAGCTACGCAGGGAGCCGGACCGACTTACGCACAAAACGAACAACCGAACTCAGAAACGACGGCTCGCTGACCTGTTTGATGACGGTGATAATGCCTATCTCATTTGCACGTTCACGGAGAATCGGTACCAAGTAGCGTTCGTAGTATAATGGGATCTCCTGCGTCAATAGTTTTTGTAGCTCGGCCGTCTCGAGCGAGGAGCAAAGCTAGCCGTCTCCAACCACCTCCGTCCATTGTCCGCGTGCAGGATCAAGTGGTGGATAAACGGAGCGCCGTAGGGAGGACGGAGCATGTTCCAGAAAAGTGCGAATCAGAGCCGCGATTCCGAGCTGACAAGGGCGATCACTAATCGATAGCAGCACGAGCATATGGCACCATCGATCGTGGGGAGATATGCTTGGCATCCGGCGGCCATGGCGCATGATAACGACGAGCGACAAGTTGACGAGGAGGGATGCCCACGAGAGTGGAGGGGGTTTCAGCCTGGTGGGCACGCTCAGTGCTGGGGCCGGAACAACTAGCGTTTGCGTGAAGGCCAACCAGCGATATTGTAAGTGGCCATTGGCAACCGAAGTTCCGTAGCAAGCGCTGAAAGAGGCAACCAGCACAAGGGAAGGAAGACCGGAGAGGACGACCCGTCAAAAGCTTGCACCATTCTCTCGTTGAAGAGACAGTACTGAAGATGACCGAGGCCTCCGTTCTGAACGTCTTCGAAAGGGATCGGTGATTTCAAGGGAGCCGGTGGTATATCGATGGCCGAACCTGATATAACGCGCTAGTCAGGGAGGAGGAGGAGGATGAGGAGGATGAGAAGTAAAAGAGAGCTTACCGGGCGTTGATCGCAAGGTCCTTTAAATCAGCGAGTCATTTTGGCGCTCCGCATTTCTGCGATTGGTCCAGGCTCCGCTTCTGACGCACGCGCACGTGCCTAAGCGCCTATCGGTGCTCTACCTCCCTCGACTGTCGCTTACACCTGGCCAACCAAGGAAATCGGACAATGAAGATAAACATATCGCATGTCGAGGACGCGTTGAGCCTTCGGTCGCCTGTCCTCTGACCAACAGTACCCCCTGAAGAAGGACCTGTACCACCGCCGCCACCGCACGTACCACCGGAATGATAATATCCACAGCGACATTCATGCCCAGAGCGTGTGACGCAGTGGAGAACGGTGCAATGGTGCGGGCTGTTTGATCCACGAATCGAAACCTCGACTACCTGCCTCTCGTATTGAGTGTGCGTTTGGCAGCGGCGCAGCTACTTGACCAAACAGACCGTCAGGATTACGACAGTGGCCCGTGCGAGTTGATACAGGGGAAAGAAGGGAGGAGGGCATGCTTCATGTCGGAGGGATGGAGGTGGATATGATTCATTGCAGAAGTGAGAATGAAGCCCCTGCGTCGCCTGATGTGCCCCGGAACACGTTTCTGAAGCCCGATGAAGCGTTATCGAGGGACGCATTGCGATATGAGCCTGCGAAAGGCGCTTCGAGGCGAGCAATACGATGTACGAGCGTGCGTCATGCCGGACCGAGGGGAGATCGTGCGCTGCATTCCTCCAGGAGGTTTCATTCTACGAGTGTACGTTGCGCGGGCGAAGCGGCGAGCAGCTGCAGAACAAGGTCGCGAGCAAACCCGCTGTTCCCGATTTCCTGTTTGGGACGGTCGCTCGCATGGCATTCACCTCGCGAATGTTGATCATGACCTCCGTTGTGCCTTTGTCTGGCGACCGTCGAAATGAATTCATCTCGCGGACAGAACAAAGATTATCTGTCTATCAACGCAGCCGGCAGATGAGAAATGTCCGACGGCGAAGGGGACCGACCGCGTCTTTCTGATGCACAGCGCAACCTTGTTCTCCGCCTCGAGGCTGCTCCCCAATCAGCGTGGGCCCGGCTGTGGCCTCGTTGTCCCAGCGCCGCCGCCCTTGTACACGTTGGAACCGCGCGACGGGGCGGGACTATATCCCTTTCGTCTTTCTTTCCTCGAGTCACCACGAACGTTCAAAAGCACCATCCGCCCACGCGATCGCTGCGATTGCGCACATCGACCCGCCCTACGACCAGCACGACCAGCTCTAACGACGCCCCCCACGTCCTATCGCACAACCGCGTCTGCACCAACAGGAATAGACCGGCACCGGAGGATCCGCGCGTGCGACGATGATGTCCGTCCAGCCCCAGCAGCAACAGCAACAGCAACAGCGGAACCGAAAACCCGCCGGCCAAGGTATGTTCCTGCCCTTCCTCGGCCCCTCCTCTTCAGGCAAGCCCGGCCTGGCACACCGGGTGGCCTCACCTTTCGTCCAAACCTTGGCCATCTTCCCACTCCGCACCTCTCCTTCTTCACACCGCGCTCCCACTCCTGTCTGCCCCTTCTCGACCCTTTCGTCGGTGTCCCCGATCCGCGTTCTGTTCTCGATCGCTGATCCCACACCCGTTCACAGCAGCCATGATCGGCGCGATGCAGCAGCGCGAGCAGTCGCCCTCGCCGACGTACAGCGATCGCCAGCGCCAGCCGCGCACCGTCAAGGCCGCCTCGATGCCCATGATCCCCTCCGTCGGCCAGGTCTTCGCCGGCAGCGGCGTCCCGCTCGTCGTCCAGGGCTCTGCGCAGGGCAGCAGCCCGACCGCGTCCATCGGCTCGCTCCGATCGGGCTCCCCCGCTTCCGGGATCGGCATCCCACCGCCCCAGGGCGGCAACCCGGCCAACGGGAACAGCAACGCCTCGCCGCCGCACGAGCTCGATCGCTCGATGCTCGCGTCTCCGCCGCCGCCGCCCACGACGACCAGCATACCCGCCCACCCCTACGGCCACGCGCAGACGCAAAGCCAACCGAACCTCTCCGCCATCTCCATGTCCATCCGCTCCCAACAAGTCCAACAGCAAGCCCAGCAACAGCAGCAGCAGCAGCAGCAGGCGCCCCAGCCCCCGCCGCCGCCACAGCACTCGCTCTCGCAGCCCAACATCCACGAGCAGGTCTACGCCCGCCCTATCGCGCGCCCGGCCCCGCCTCGCTTCCTCACGCAGCAGCACCTCGATCTCGACCACCTCGACGACGCCGCCGGCTGGCCGGGCGCGCAGGTCCCGGAGCCCGGCATGGGCGGCGTCGCCTACGCGGGCGGCGCCACGAGCAACAAGATCGTCGCGCAATCCTCGCCCCCGCAATCGAGCCAGGTCCCGGGCAGCGCCGGCGCCGGTCCTCCGTACGCCGCGTTCGAGTCGAGCAGCCCGCCGCGCGAGCTGCCGCCGGCGATGGCCTCTATCGGCCGGCGCAACACCCTCCGCGAGCGCGCGGAGCGCGAGTCTCCGAAGGCGGCGGCGGCGGCGGCGGCGAAGCCGCTTCCGCAGCAGGTCCACCTCCCGCGCACGCCGGAGCGGCAGTCGCCCGCGTACGCGACGCCGCTCGGCTCCCCCGGGGAGCACACGGCCGCGTACGCCGAGTACGTACCGGCGCAGCAGGGATACAACCGCGTCGGGACGCCGTCTGGCTTGCGCAAGACGACGACGGTGGCTGCGGACGGCCAGGAGCGTGGGATCCGTGGCACGCCGCCGTCGAGCGCGCGCCTTGCGCACCAAACGCATACGCCGCCGCTGCACCAGCATCCGGCTCAGCAGCAGCAACATCATGCGCGGACACCGGACCGGGCTCTGCCGTTGCAGGAGGCGGAGGACGAACACGAGCATGATGTGGACCAGGCGAGGACGCCGTCTCCAGAGGCGGAGGCGGGGCGGTACGGGCACGGACGTGCGAGCCGGGAAGCGTCCCGCGAGCGGGAGCGGGAGCGAGCGCGGGAGACGGAGCTGGATGACGAGGAGACGCTTCACGAACCGGACGACGAAGATGAAGACGAAGGCCTGTCGCCCCACAAGAGCAGCGAAGATGACGGGTTCACGCCGCGCTCGCCGACGGCGGACCTGCCCGACCCGGATGCGGCGCGCGCACAGGCGCAGCAGCAGCGGTATATTCAACAACAGCAGCAGGCGTACGCTCAACATACGGTACGGGCCAAACCGCGCGTCGGCGCGACGGATCGGTTGGGTATGCCGGGATTCGATCCGAGCATCTTCCAGACGACGACGCTCGACAAGCTGCGCGACGGCGAGCGGAACCAGCCCCAGCAGCCACAACCGCAGCAACACCTACTACCTCAGCACGTCCCGGAGCTGCCCTACTCCCCGCCGCCGCCGTCGCAGTCGGCGCAGATGTTCAGTGACGACCTGCGCAGCCTGTACGAGCACCCGACCGCGGCCTACCTGAGCTATCTCCAGCACCAGCACATGCTCCAGACGCAGCACCTCGCGCACCACCAGCAGCACCAGCAGGGGAACCATCACGCGCGCCCGGACGCGCCCATCCCGCCGACGCCGCACAGCCAGACCGCCGCGCCTTCGCCTGGCCCGTGGGTGTCGAGCGTGCCCAACACGGGCAACGGGCCGCGTCCCGTTCCGCTCCCCGCGTTCAGTCCGATGCCAGTGCCTGGATCTCCGTACCCGTACCCGTTCAACCATGTCCGGCGCGGCGTCGCCCAGGCCGCGATGCAGCACTCCACGTCCGCGCAGCAACAGCAGCAGCAGCAGCAGCAACAGCAACAACACGAGGGCGAAGGGGAGGGCGAGGGGAGCGTGTACGACCCCGCGCAGCTCGATCCGGCCTCGATCCACGAGCAGCTCGCGCTGCAGATGCAGATGTACGCGCTCAACAACGCGGGCGCGATGACGGACTCGACGTTCTCGCCTTCCTCGACGCCGTTCCCCGGCCCCGGGTACAATCCCTGGGCGTTCCTGCAGAACGGCGCGTACGCCGCGGCTGCGCTCGGTGGCGGTGGGCTCGCGCCAGGTGCGAGCGGAGTGGCCGCGGGCGGGCGGCAGCTGATGACGAGCATGAGTCTGCGGAGCAGTCCGAGCCACGAGCCCGTGCCGCTGCCGCTGCCGAGTATGGTCGGGCGCGGGCTGAGGCGGCGGGAGCGGAGCGTGAACCTGCGCGCCAACGGGCACGGCGCGGGCGGTAATGGCGTGAAGCGCGGGAAGGTGAAGCCGCCGCCGAGGGTGGAGAGCACTCAGCCGAGGGATACGTCGCCAGAGTTGAGCGATGGGGAGGAGACGAGCACCGCGGGAGAGGAGGAGCACGAGGACGAGGTTCGGAACGGGAACGGGGTATACCAGGAGTACGTGCCGGAGGAGGGGCGGTGGGTGAACGGCGTGCACGGGGACGAAGCCGGCGAGTGGGTCGATGAGGAGGATGACGCGGAAGAAGATCTGCTGGATCTCGAGTTCCATCCGAGCTATATCACCAGCATTGAGAAACGACGGCGGCGATGGGCGGCCAAGTGGGAGAATCTCCTACAAGCGGTGGGTATCGCAACGTCCGCACACGCGATCGCGAGCTGATCTCTTTGTTTGGTCTTACAGTTCCAGGAATTGGATCGCCAGACAGACGCCACGCTCGTCCTGCTGGCGTCACCATCGCACTCGACCAAGCTGCACGCGATCACCTCGCGCTCCATCCGGCGTGACCCGTCGCTGTTGCACTCGCCTGCGCTATCCCACATGCGGCATTCGTTCAACCAGATCGCGAGCTCCCGTCGGGTCTCACGCTCGCAAGTGCCGACCCTTTCCGACCGCATGCGGTTCGCGGCAGCATCATCGTCGGACGGCTCCTCGACGGTTGCCGAGACCGACCGCGAGGCAGACCTTCGGCGCGCGCTGGAGGCCTCGATGGGCAGCTTGGGCCTGCTGGGGCGCATCTTCGAGGAGCGGGAGTACCGGTGGAAGGAGGAGTTTAGGAACTTGCGCTCGGACCGGGAGAGGGTCGAGCTCCTACTTAGGCAGTCGATTGGTATGGGGCTCTCTGGTGGCACGGGCACGAACATCAGCATTGGGTCTTCGCAATGAGTTGGGTGGCTAGGATTGTATCATCAGCAATACTTCACTGTGCTTGTACACGATGTATGTTGTACAAACTTCATTTCCCGCGATGTTCCCCCTGCAGTATCACAGAAATACTCTCACATACACTTCACCATGCTTCGTCGTTTGAGCGGCAGGTTTACCACGTGGTAGCACGCCTAGTCCGTCGCCGTGTTCGAGACATTGTTCTCGAACGTACCCACCATCTCTGCCGTGTATCCCGTTGTAGCTCATCCCGCTGGGCGGCGGCCGGATACGATGGCTAATGAACGCTCCCGGGCCGGCCGTACTGATACTCTCGCCAGCCTGCGAGCAGCCCCCTAGCTTCTTAGGAGCCTTGCCAAATCCGGCAGCTCCTTCTTTGCCCGCCCCTCTCTCTGCTCGAGGTCTGCAAACGCGTAGCTATGGCCGAGCGCATACCCAAGCCCCCCGAGGATGTGGTCACCATCGGTATATTGGGTACGCCTTTGACTCTGAGCGCGGCAGCGCTTGGTGTGCTGACCTGTATCCATCTGTATCCAGCTTTGCAGGGGGCATTCGCGGAGCACCAGGTGATACTCAAAAAGCTGCCGATGGGGGGGCACAAGATCAAGATCGAGCTCGTCCGCGTACCGGACGATCTCCAGCGATGCGACGCGTTGATTATCCCGGGCGGAGGTCAGTAGTCGCCACCCCGCTCCGTAGGGCTATCGCATCGGCTCATCGTCGGATCTTGCGTTGGCAGAGTCGACCACGATCGCTCTTCTCGCGAGATTGGCCGGGCTGCTCGAACCCCTTCGAGACTTTATACGACGGCAGCGGCCCGTGTGGGGTACCTGCGCCGGTGCGATTTTGCTTTCCGAGAGGGCGGAGGGTACGAAAAAGGGCGGCCAGGAGCTGCTCGGCGGCGTGAACATCTCGATAGCGCGTAACGGCTGGGGATCGCAGGTGCGGTCTGCGTCTTCAATGGGAATACCACGCTATCCGTCTAACGATGCGCGACGCAGATCGAGTCATTTGAGGCGCCGCTGTTGTCCGACGACTTGAAGGAAGCTGATCGGCCGTTCACTGGTGTTTTCATTCGTGCACCCGTATGTTGCCGGTTTCCGACTCGGTGGTCAGGCCGTCACTCACATCGTGTACCCACCAGGTCATTCTGTCAGTATCGCCGACACCCGAACATCCCATCCAAATCATTTCGCGCTTGCCTGCGGACCACCTGCCCCGCACGGGCGATCCCGCGCTCGAGGAGGAGGACGACACAGATCCACGCGATCCGAGGACCATCGTTGCCCTCAGACAGGTGCGTGCCACGCCGCCATTCTCCGCCGCCTTGGGGTTCTCCCGCTCATAGTTGCCTCACGTCAGGGACGACACATGGTTACGACGTTCCACCCCGAGCTGACCAACGACAACCGCTTCCATGAATACTTTTTGCGAGAATGCGTGCTGCCTTCCCTCCGACAATAGCCAGTAATATATGGACTCATCGGAGCATGTTACGATTTTCCCTACATCGCTGCTTGACCCTGCGGGCACCATCCTTAGACAGACAATTGAATGACGGGACGATACGCGACATATAGACGCAGCCGCATGTCTAATTTATGTATTCAATGTGAACATCCGTCCACAGATGGATGCGCATCAGTTCGGCGAGCGTGCTCCGTCTGTTGACGCATGGCGCATATCCACGCGCACCTCATTCTTCGCCGGGAACCTGTGTCGCGATCGGTCCCGATATCGTCAGATTACGTGGGGCCGACGATCTATACACGATTCGCGCACGAATACCCGTCTATTCTCGGTATTTCACCTCACTCCGACGTAACGTTTTTCCCTTTGCTAATCATGGTGTCGAGCGGAAGCCAAGGAGGAACTGCATGGCTTGGAACGCGGCCTGTACCCAAAGAAACAAGAAGTGGCGTCAGTGAACGCGGACGACAACCTACGGGGGTGGAGGGAGGAGACTAACCCAAGGCACGAACTGGGGCACCATGTGGCCGGACTGCTCAACCTCGTAGTACGTCAGTCCCCGCTCTTGGTGCGCGGTGCCGACGGCGCCGACGCCGTCGACGATGAAGCTGTCGTTCTGGATCGGGGTCTGGAAGCCTTGCAAGCCGTTCCCTACCCGTAACGTCCGTAAGCGTCCTCCTTTTACTGGCCTTCGTCAGTGCGCCCACTCACAGGTCATGTTCTGGAGCACGATGCGCGTGCCCTCGGCGATGAGGATGAAATCCGCGAGACCGTGCACGATCACGCTCCGCTGGCTCTTCTCGATCGCGTTCGGCAGGACGGTGAACGCAGGCGGGAGGCTCTGATCGCCGCCACGGCCGAAGACGGACTCGTTCGAGCACTCGGTCCAATCGACGTTGGCAGGCGCGTGGATCGCAGCCTTCACGTCCGCGCGGTCAAAGTAGAGCGGGGAGAGTTGCGTTTGCGGGAAGGAGCCCGGGAAGCCGAGCACGTCCCAGAGGATCGGGTACTGTGCGTCCGAGGAAGGACCGAAGTTAGCGAGCACGGATCGTAGTGGGAAGGGAAGCAGGGTCTTACGGTGTCGAAAATGCGGTAGATGTTGAACGCGGGGTTGGTGGCGAGCGCGGCGTCGAAGATCATATCCCAGACGTCACATCCGCGCGCCGTGCGGGACGAAGACGTGCCGGTGGGGAATGGCAAGAGACCCTTGGGCGGGAAGGTGACGTGCTTCTCGAAGTAGTCCGAGTAGTTGCATGTCGCGGCGATCGAATCGAGCTCGGCCATGAAGGTTTGGCTGGAAGGACGTTAGTCGCCGACGTGAAATGGTTGTCAATGAGGCGTACTTGAACGCGAAGACATTTTCGTATTTGTGGACGAAGTTGACGGCCGGGATCTGCTCCTGCACGATGTCGAAAGAAAGCGAGGCTGCGTGCAGATCAACACAAGTCAGATCGTGATTATGCGATTCCCGTTGAAAGTACTGACGATCCGAAATGTAGAAGCCTTGAAGGTCCAGATCCAGTGTGCCCGGGTTCTCGTAGATAAAGTTGGCGATATCTGACACCGATATGAAACTCAAGATCTCTAACTGTTTCGAAAGGGAGCGTACATGGTATGTATGTTCCGGCGTACTGTTGAATCTTTCATGTCAACCATCGCGATTCTGATATGAGCGGGTGTGGAGCTCACGCTCTCGCCACTAAGGTAGAACTTCTTGCCCTTCAGCTCGGAGAAGACCTCGAGGAACTGTTGGAAGAACCCAACAAGCTGTTCGGCGAGCTGATCTTCGTTCTGCTGAGGATTAGTGCATGCAGAAAAGAAAACCGAAGAGGTCCAGAACGAACGGTGATGTTGGGTGTCCCCTGCGAGAAGCCCGTGCCTACGGGTTGTTCGACGAAGAGAATACTAGAAAGATTCGTCCAGCTCCATTGGTTGACGGTCGGTATAGCCTGACCCCATGACCATGAAAAAGGCTAACGAGGCAAAGCCGTCAACGTAAAAGCATGATGCAGGCACCGTGAAGCGATCTACCCCATTTTCTTGCAAGAGACCCTCGAGAGACGAGCACCCAGGCCCACCATTGGTCCAGAAGATGAGGTCGTCGAGGCTTCCCTGAGGGCCAGGGGGGAAGAACCAGAAGAACAATTTGCGAGTCTCTTTCGGGTCCGAGCTGATAGGCAGAAGTCCCGACCAGGATGGCCCGATGTCGAAGTCAACCTCGGGGATCGCAGTGCCGTCGACCCAGAATTCCTACAGTCATCGTTCAAACGTCGACCGTGGAAATGGATACACTCGGACTTACGGACGCGCGAGGGTTGCTGAATGTGATGTTTTGCACGCCAGTATGCGCCGCACGACCTTGCAAGTTGGGTATACCGAACCGCTTGGCGGCCTCAGCCTGACGAGCGTGCATGTCGCGCTTGGTCATTCGGCGCGCTTGAGTGCCGGCGAGGAGCGCCAGGCCCAGAAGGGCGAGGTTAAGGATGTAACACGGTCGTAGCATGTTTGTCGAGGCGAAGGTCCAGTGAGGAGTAGGAGCAGCCAAGTGCACCAGATTTTGTAGTGGTCCTAGAAAGAAGCAAAGCTCCGCAGGCTCGCGCTAAGAATAGGTAATGTTCCGGGCGCACCACGCGGCGCGCCCTTCGGTTTTTGTGCGCCCTGGCTTGAGGTCGTTTTGCTTTCTCGCAGAAAGCGCAGATGATATCCGTCCCGCGCTGTCCATATGAGCGCCACGAATCGAGATTTCACTTCACAAAAGGCGGCGGAAAAAGCGGTCATGGGCGTATCAGGCCATAGTTACGACTTGAATATGTGCAATTGTCGGGGAAAGACTGCGATAGCTATGGTTGTCGCGGCATACGATGAAGGGGTTCCCGAAGCCGGGAAGCGCGGCACAGTGCATGGCACGCGGGACCATTTCAGCTACCCGGCTCGCACGGAGCTTCCCTGACACGCCGTTCGGCGAGCCGATCACTGGTAGTCTTCTGTACTCGGTCTTGAGGATGTCTTGAGGTACGACCGTGTTAAGAGACCACGTATGTCATAACCGTGGGGTGTGTAGTTTAGGATGATCCATGAAGGGGGATTCCAGAGAGCGGCTAGGCTATATCGCACCAAGCGCAGGGTGTATGCCTCCATTGCCTTCCCGCATACCATCGCAACTTGCTTGACGACAACGACAGCCATGAGCGGAAACTTGTCATAAACCGTAAGTTATGGTAGGCTAGTAGAGAGAATAAGGAACATGAGCAAGCGGATAAACGAGCAGACATCTCCCGAATTGTAAGAGTCCTGGGCCTGAAGCTCAGTGCACAGTGACAGTAGACGCGGACGAGCAAGAACGTCAGCCGCGGAGGTCAGCGGGCGTCAATTCGGTCTTCGGTGATTGCGGTCCGGTCACTCATACTGTACGTTCACCGGCACGACCGCAGCTTCATAAACGCACCGCTTTCCCAATTTCCGTCATAGATTCCGATATTCACCTCGCTTGTTCCACTCCACGGACCTTCCCTACGATACGCAACGCAAGGGAGGTGATTTCCAAGACTTCCTGCGATGGATGCACCAACGGCGGGTCGGATGTTGCTACACTCACTGGCGCCCCTGTCGGCTCCCTTCTCGCATCGAGCGCCAGACCACATTCAAACCTGGTCTCGCCTGTTGCAAGAACCGTTATCTCTTGATTGAACATCAGTCCTTTCAAGCCGGGAGACGATGCCCCCCTGTCGCTTTGCGGTGGATATCCTACACTTGCCTTGGACCACCGTTGGACCGCGACCACGGACGCACCCTTCCTCCCTCCGATGAAGACATCCAACGAAGACATTCAAGTCATATCATATCCTCCCATTAGCTTCACTTCATTCCACGACCATTGCATTTCTGTGACCCCTTGTCGCCTCCGCCCCGCCAAACTTCGAACATCCGCTCCATCTACATCGGTCACGTGACGCATCTTCCCCGCGTCTACCTGTCTGCTCAGCCTTGCGCGTTGAGCTCTCCCTTAGACTTCCGCCTTGTGCGCGAGGCTTGCTACGTTGAATGCTCCGCCTTGAGCGAGCCAGGACCACGCCCACCCGCTCTGCACCTCGCAAGCGTGACTCGGTCTGCTCCGCATCCCGCGTTGAGCCTTGTCGCATTGGCCCCGCTTCGCCTTCCAATTGGGCTCTCCCTGACCCCGCCTCTCGGCCTGTTGCGAGATCGCGCCGGCGATGGCATCCCCTGCTCCGCCTCCGGGAGCATGTTCCGTCTGGGCTCTCCCTGACCCCTCCTCTCGGCCTGTTGCGAGATCGCGCCGGCGATGGCATTCCCTGCTCCGCCCCGGAGCTTGTTCCGTCTGGGCTCTCCCTGACCCCGCTTCTCGGCCTGTTGCGAGATCGCGCCGGCGATGGCATTCCTCGCTCCGCCTCCGGGAGCCTGTTCCGTCTGGGCTCTCCCTGACCCCGCCTCTCGGCCTGTTGCGAGACCGCGCTGGTGATGGCATCCCCTGCCTCGCTTATGAAAGCCAATGATTGACATATACCTATGTTGCTCAGTCTATCGAGGATGCTTTTCCCCAACCACTTTTTTCCCACTGGGTTTTAGTGGCTGGGTTTTTAGTGCGCCGACATGGATCGACTACAGCGCAGGTAGGGGCCTGAAGAGGTCAGGACTCTGGGGTAGGACAGACCTGGAGTAGGGCATACAGTACGATACACATTCATGTAATTATGCACACTCTGGTCGAAGCGGTGTGTTGGCTCATAGAGCGGACGGGAACCGTGTAGACCAGGGTGTCCCGGCTCGCCACTAGTGCGAGGCCCTGGGGCCCGGCTGTTCCGGTATTGGGACCGCGCCGGTTAATACTACCTACTACCTACCTACAGCCGCTACCTCACCGTCCGGTACTATGCGCAACACTACTCTTGTCTTCCTAGCCTGCAAACCTCATCCCAGCCCACGCGACTCGAACTTTCCCGAACTCATTCCCATTCTATGTGATGGTCGAAAGGCCGTGATCGTCGCGGGGTGGGGAGCTCCGCAAGCCATGGATATAGGCGACTACCTGCGCCGTTACCTGCAACTCTCGTTTCCTGGCTATCAGGATATCGAGGAGCGCTACAAGCGGGTCAACTTCTACAGATCTAATCGGTTGGAGGAGATGCGTCGCTGGGACATGAGCGAGGAACCCGTAGACCCAGCGCACGGTCAGATCTACGTCTGCAGCGGTTCCGATGCGGAAGAAGTCCTCGCGAACATCCGCCACACGGATATCTACTTCATGCCACCTCATCCTGATCTATCGATGCTGCTGCTGCGATTGATGCTGTTCGAAACACCATCGAGCGAGGGACCGCTTCCGCCTCACAGACATATCGTCATCTTCTGTACGGAAAGGGAGCTGGACTGCATCTATGCACTTCCCTTGGAATCTTCAGCAAGGATGTTTCCAGAGATTGGCCCCTTCCTCATCCAAATGATTCGCAGGCACTGCCCGTCCACTCTCAACTCGATCGTTTGGAGTTACGGGGATATGGATCCCGCTAATCGATGCCCTTGTGCTCGATGTTCGAGGGACGCCGACGGCACAACTCCGCCGTGCTCGTGTTGGCGTTGCGAACCCTCATTAGGGCAGCCAGCAAGCCGTCGGAGAACCTAGGACATCCGGAGGATCACATGCTATGGATTCTGGATTGGTGATCCTCGTCTGCATAGGACATTCTATAGTGCAAGGAAGTGACACTCTATCGTGCCAGTTCTTTGCGTTGGCTAGGAAATGGATTCTCACGGCTCGGTACGAGACGACAATAACGAATACCCATCTCCTACTTGCTGTATACCATAGGTGTTGTCAAATATAACCTCATGAGGAATCTGCAGATGTGTAAAGCCCTTGCAAAGTAGTTTGATTGTAGCTGGGAATGAGCAGGAGTTGTCGTAGCTTGAGTTGTCGAAGAGAAGATGCAATCCTGGAAGCTCGAGAAATGGCTGACAAGCAACCCTGTTGAACAACATCCAAATGCCTGTACTACATGAGTACCAGCCTGTCAGGGCATGGCTCCCACACCTGCCTCATGTCTCACTGTTCTCCTTTCTGCTTCCGCTTCTGTCCCATTTTGTTCATTTCCCCTAATACTTTCGTCTCCCTATTCGGTCACGCTCTCCCGCGCCCTCCTTTTGGCATCTCCCCTATTTCGTTCCGTCGCTCGGCGCTCCTAGGGCCTCCGCACCCCGCGCGGCCTCCCTACGCCGCTCCACCGGTCACGTGTCGGGTGCCCGAGGACCCTCCCCTTCTCTCATTGGACCATCTTTCGTTGCGCTGATGGATTACTCATCTACTATATAGTCGCCTGTCGCACCAGGGAGCAACCCAGACTTGTTCTCTCAGTTGCCTCCCTGCCTTGTGCGACAGGTATGTGTACTTCCCTTCGTATCTTCGTATATATACTCAGTTGCCTCCCTGCCTTGTTGTCACGTGTCGGATCTTGGGCCATAACCGGGCCAAGTACGATAGCTCCGGTCGTTCCGGGTTGTCTGCCATCGGAGTAGCAGCTCCGGTACCGGACCTACGTTATCACATGAATAGTCCTCCGGCGACTCAACGTCCCGGTAGTTCTCGAGTCATAACGGATTCAACTCCGACGTTCACGATCGATATGCCTTTAACGGTTTGATATTCCCTTCGGACTTATTCTACCTCCGATTATCAGCTTCATAACCATATGCTCCGTCCTTACGATTGACAGTTCCACATGGTTCATAGTTCCGATAACTCCTTATTCCACATGGTCCATAGTTC